TCATTCCTCCTCGGCTTCTTCGTTTCTGGCGTGATTGGAAGGTGGTTCGACACGTACATGTACATTCCTTGGCTCAACAATATCACGTACCAAATAACTGTACGTCAATGAAACATCTTACCTACTAACTACATTTAAATAGAACGTTATTGATGAGAGTGTCAGTAAAATCGCCTTTGCCTGAATTCCAGCTACACCGAACCTCGTATAGCTGTGTGCAGAGACTAACCAATGGCATGAAGGCCTTTTCCAAGGTCACCAGTTAGTTCATTTTAACAAATGTAAATACCCCTGAGTCGTGTAGGCCAAATTAAATGTGTAGAACAAAGATGTAGAACCATTTGAGTTTAATAATAAACGATCTTTTCCCGATTTGCAGTCGGCGATAAACTGCGCCGACGCCAGAGCCGCCTTGAGAATTCGGCTGTCCTTGGCGCGCTACTTGAACCTCTCGTGGATACTGATGATGCGGACGATCAGCGACCGCATCTCGAATCGCTTCAAGCAGTACCGCGGGAGTTCGCCTCGTCAGCAACGACAACGTCTTCGGCACGACAGAAATGACACTGTCCGTTGTACTGAGGTGAGTTCCAACACGGAGACGATTTAGCCTGCTGAATGGGAGGTAGAAGAGACCAGAGATAACGCAGTTATCGATGCGGTAATAGCGTGGTTATACCAAGTCATATGTCATTGGTTTAATATCGATCTGTTGGGGCCCCTTTACCACACGAAGTAACCCAGGAAGACCGTTTACTAGACAGTTTCAACCAAGTTGTGTGCGTTGTCGTGACTCCTGTCTTTTCAACCCCCTAATCCGGTCGCTCCACCTCCTACACAGGTTTCCCCTTATCTCAGCATGTCGCCAGCCGCGCGGATCCTCTGCTCCCCCCTCATTCGCACGAGTAGTTATCTTGGATTATCCCCACACCTAGGTCTCGATGTTAGCGCATGTATGACTCACACATCAGAGCTGTAAATACACACGAGACAACGACACCAACGTGGTTGACTTCTGAAGTAAACGCTTGCGTCCGTCCTCTCCGGCCTTTCACCTTCATTGCGGGTATTAGGCAAGCGTAATTGGGCCAGGGTTAATTCCGTGGCCCCGGCGTGGTTCAAGACCGCATGCTGGGTCCCACAACAGCGTTTTTACTGATCCAGTTGAGTGGACATGTAAAAATAAACACTGGCGTCTGTGAGGACACATGAGTAAAGCGGGTGGCGGTGGTGGTACACGCAAAGGGGTTAATGAACCGGCAGCCTCACGCGGCTGACGGACACGCCGTGAAAAGTGGGGGACGAGTGTTGGAAGCTGCGACGACTGGGTTATTGGATGTGAATTAATAGAATTCAGCACAGATCTCTGAACGAACATAGCTATATGAAGTGCATTCAAACAAGTCGATTGAATCAATTGCAGCGCCAAATGTATTATTGATTGGTTGCTAAACAAATGCTTTAAACTCCTAGTTACTGCCAGAACAAACAACACGACACGATCAGCGGAAGCAAAAGTTTTCCCCTCTTCTGACGAAACCAATCTCTTCGCTACCACAAAAGTCATCGTCAAGAGGATCTGGAATTTTCAATTTCAACATCGTTGACAGCATCTTTGATGCGCCAGATGAGTATGGGATGCGCGAAACACTAAGGAGTTTCAACGGAGATAAAAGTAAGCCCACGATTTAACCAATGAGTAACTTGAAGATCTCAAGGTCGCGCGAAAAATCATAGTTTTCATACTTGTTAATGCCAGCCCATAGCTTTGCCCTCATGTGATGAGGACAAAAAACTCATCTCCGTAATGCCAAGTTTAACTCAAATTGGCCTATTTAGATGTCCCATGTGACCTTGAGCCTACTAATAATAAATGGCCATAAATGGTTTGGAGAAATGACGTCATTAAAAGTAAAATTAACTCTCTATTTATGCATTTTGGAAAGTCGAAGCTTCAGCAATTTTGTCCAGTTTTAAAAATTTCATCGCTGAAAGATCAACATCTGCGCATCAAGATCACTACACGCTTCGTATCGATTCCATCAGAAAATTCTAGTCAAATTTGCCCATAGAATCTCCAATTTGCAATGGACCTTGATATCAACAAAGGTTATGAATTTCAAGTTGAATTAACCAATAGGAAGATAGCGGTCGATTTAAATTTCAGAATCGCAGACGCAAACGCGCCGGCAAATATGATTGGTCAATTTGTCAATGAACAATGCTAAATAATTGCGTAATGATTACTAGCTTGTATTTCTAGAGGTCCAAGCGACCTTTGGAAAGATCATCACTGAGGAGGAAATACGCGCGTTCGAGTCGATTGCACGAAATTACTTCAGCAAAAAGAGACAACGCTACCTCCCTGAATACTGGGTTCCCATTCAGTGGGCTGTGCGTCTAGTCCAGAAAGCAGCAATTCACGGAAACATTCCTGACTCCAAGATCATGATAGGCGTGTTCCAGGTGAGTTAAATTACAGAAGCTTAATTTGCCGCAAAATTCACAAGTCGCTCACAGAATTTAACTAATCGAACCACCAGAATTAAAGACTTGGGGTCCTTCGTAGGCAGTCGACACTAATACTTCCATGAAGCATTTGAGAAGTTGCTGGCGAATTTCAAGACGTTTTTCAATAAAAAATAAATATGTTTTGAATTTCGGCCATTTAGTTTTTACCTAATGAAGTAACCAATCACGTGGAGGCATTTTAGGAAGAGCCAATCAAGGAGGAATAAGTGGTCAGAATGCAAAATTATAAAATGAATAATTGAATTACAGCCGCAGTGGACTAGATATTACCAAGTTGACCCAGTAGATAAATCCCGTTGGTTTGAGAAAACAGCAGCCAATCAAACTAGATGAAATGTTGGTTGCGCATTAACATCGCACACAGTAGCCGCTCGCGAATTGCACTGAGAGAGTACACGACTAAAGTTGACCAATCAAAACCATCCACTGACGCTCATTCAAGAGCTGATGTTCTGCATTTTACTTTTAGGAAATTGGCGGCTTTCGGAAGCAACTACAGAAACTGAAAACATTTTGTAGCTTAACCATGCCGTTGGTCTACACACAGGTAGGTCGCCACCCTGACTGTAAGTAGAACAGGCGAAATTCCACCTGACAGAATCGTCTTGAGCTGTGGCTTTGTAGGTGGCCGTGATCGCAGTGTACAGCTACTTCCTCTGCCAAATCCTCGCGACTCAACACATAGAACGCGCTGTCAACGGAACCTCAACAAACACCGGTCTCCCTGTTCCTATTTTCAGCATATTTTACTTCATCTTCGTGGTTGGCTGGCTCAAGGTATGCGCACCAATCCCTGATTTCTGCTTATAATATTGTGGAACAGCTGGACCACCTTGTAGAGGGCCCCGGGATGTTGTCTTGAACCACGCCGGGCCACCGCGACCACCTACGCCGACCACGTTACCCTGTGTTCCCGCGAAAACAAAGAAGACCGGAGTGGAGAAGGCACAACCGTTCACTAGACCGCCCAACCTAGTTGTATCGTGTACGATTGCGGTTGAGTGGACAGGCACAAAAACAAACACAGGTGTCTGTGAGGTCCATGACTAAAGCGGGTGGTGGTGGGACATGCAGAGTGGTTAATGAATCAGCGGCCTCACGTGACTGACGGGCACGCCGTGAAAAGGGGGGACGTGTGCTGGAAGCTGCGAGGACTGGGTTATTGGACATGGCTCAACACGATTCCCTACAATCTAGTTCTCGTGGAGATATCTAATACAAAGGCATTACCCATTATCGCGACACCAGTGTGTTAACGACTTTTCTGCCAATCACGACATCGCCTCCCGTTCATTGGATAATGACTAAGTCTGCAGTGTAAATTTTATTCTACTTATCACACAGGCAGGTCGCACAATCAACAAATAGTGCCCGAAGCAAGCATGTGTGCATTTATAGGTCAAAAATGTGGTAGTGTGCGTGATAGATGTGTTGTGGGCCCTGCATGTGGTCTAGAATCACGCCGTGGCCACGGAATTAACCCTGGCCCGATTACACCTGCCTGATACCCGCGATGAAGAAAGAGACCGGAGAGGACGTGGACACATCCGTTTGCTTCAGAGCTCAACCTCGTTGGTCTCGTTGTGTCGTGTGTGAGCGCTAACATCGAGACCTAGGTGTGGGGATACTCCAAGATAAATATTCGTGCTAATGAAGGGGGAGATGAGGATCCGCGCGGCTGGCGACATGCTGCGAACAGGGAAACCCTGTGTAGGAGGTGGAGCGACCGGATTTAGGGGTTGAATAAACACGATTCACGACAGATGTGTAAACATCGAGGCAACGGGGGATAATCCGGGATAAGCATTAGGGCTAACCTATAGCGAAGAGGGCATTGTGTCGGAGATTGGAGCGATCGGATTGATGTGCTGTTTGTAGGTTGCGTTGTGTGTAATGAACCCCTTCGGCGAAGACTACGAGGACTTCGAGACCTCAGACATGTTCGACTACAACTTGGACGTCAGTTATCGCGCCGTCCTCATGGACGAGGCAACATATCCGGAGGAGCTTAAACGCGCGACGTTCCAAACACGCACAATGGAGGGCGCAGAAAACGATAATCTGAAAATCTTCCTTGACAAGGTGTCGCGCGACATGGACGATGTGGAATTCGACGAAGACGCCAACGAGTAAGACAATGGCCAGTTGTTTGATTAATTGGACTGCCAGCTCTGCCATCACACTGTCTGGATATTACTTCCGATTGCAGCATTCATAACTTGGAGTTTCGTCCTGGAATTTGCTCGCAAATTAGGGAAAAGTTTTGCAAGAAGCGCGAAAAGGCCGATCGATTTGGAGGTAAGATTTGGGCGTGCGTTTATATGGAGGTTCCTAATTTGATTGCGGATCACTTTTTTTACCTGAATGGACTCACCTCAACCTTAAGGTCATCAGTTAATTGAATGAATCATCATTCGGTGGTGTGGGGCTCTGGGCTCGAATGCGATTGGTCAGACATTACAGCCAATCAGGAAAAGAGGCCAAGACCACACCACAATCCAATTCGCTTTTCATTGAAATCTTGCAATTTTTTTAGGCGAAGAGAAGCTCCAACCATCAATTCCGAATCCACTAACATACTGAATGGGCTCCAAACGGTTGTGACGACGAACACCATCCAGCCCCAAACAACGTCCTAGCCACAACTTACAGTTTTTAAAGTCACGGACAGCCTTCAACGCTATAGCGTGCCCCAAGGATATACGTAAAGCAGGTCGGGCGTCAAAAAGTCGGACTTTTTAAAACCCTAGCTCTTAAAACAACCAGTCCAAATACTGAATTATTAGACTGAGCATTTTTTGGCATCATAGGAAATTAAATCTCGAACCGGGACTACTTTGTGAGGTCACACGACGGAAAATCGTGATGCAGCGTGACTGGCACAGCTTCGTTTTCAGAAAAACGAAATCCGACGCTAGAGGCGTTGCAGTGGTTTCAAGTGACAAACGGTGAATCGATAATAATGATTTTCTTGGTAAATCAGAGAAATTCCACACACGCACACACAGAGACTGCAAAAAATTTTGTCGTTCAATAATACGAGCTAAGGTGACCATGGTGACGCGTCCGGATTAAGCCCACTAATTCGTGTTGTTGCATGAACGCGAAACACAAATAAACAACCAACTTGGTTTAATCGGGTGTGAAAAGTTGGCGATTAATAGAACGTAAACATTGGGGTCAGCGGAGGGTAAATATGGAGACTCAGGGGATAATTGGACGACGAGACACGACAAGAGCCCCGAATCGTGGAATTTTTGACCAGGCGATTTAAATAACCCTTTCTTACAAGTAACAAGGACTGTTCAGGTTGAAATAAGATACGCCAGGAAGCGGGACGTCAAAAGAACGGCTATGGGGTACTACAGATTGAAGTGGCAACTTTAAAGGCTAACCACTTGAATTGGCATGAGCTAACGAATGACACGCCTAGACACACCCAGACTAATTTCCAACAAACGGTCTTCATGAGATCACGGTCGCCTCAGGACCAAAGCAGATGGAAAGAATTCAGAAGAACCGGCAGAGGATATAAAAATTAATCTATTTTAAATGCACGAAGACTTAATCTGAGACGGTGGTAAGGTAAATGCGATAGCTAGGTGGAAGACAGGCCACACTGACGCTCCCTCGAGAACGACTGCGCAGACGCATAGTCGCAGGGCGGTTGGCAATTGCGTGCCGCGTCACCAAACTGCTGATGGTAGCGGCAAAATACGGGAGACCGGTGCCTCGATGTCTCCCGCGATTCCCCCGAACGTGTTGACGATTCGCGATCGTCGTGTCGCCGTGGATAGGCATTGTCAGTGGACGGTTTGTAGGAGCACGGAGGGTAGCAGAGCTTGGCGTTATCACCGAACTCGTTGTGGTAGACACACAGGCCCGGTGATTGTGCCTGAGGCGAGTTCGACGGGCGCTGTTGGCAAGGTGCAGGAATATCCTCCGCCGACAGACCTTTTGAGGAGTACTTGTATGGCGACGTGCGCTTTGTGCTTTCGCTCCTATACCGTCCTCGATGAGCGTAGTGTGAATCTGTTTCCGAAAGCGACTTGTGAGTGGAATCAGAGACGGATCCACCCCGTTCCGTTTCGCTAGCTGATAGGCGGGATTTGTGGAATTTGCACGGTGGTACACACTCGACGGCCTTCTCACCAAATTGTCTGTGATGCGGACAAATATCTGAGGCTCCGTTAGACGTCAACTCAAAGCCATCAGTGTCATTCGGTGCCAATTCGACTCGACGACGCTTGGACGGAACTGGCACGTAAATGGTATGCGAGTGGCTGGCTCCCGGGTAGACCTCGTTGTCGGGCTTAACTGCGGCAGAGGACGGTGTCAGCGAAGACTTCGACGTGGAACCCCTTCGAGACTTCTTGGCGACGTCGGCTTCGTCAGAAGTTGCATTGTGCGGTGACAGAACGCACGGTGGCTGACACTTGACGGAGCCTAAGCCGTATGTTCTGTGGAAGAAGCATACTTCTCGAGAACTGCTGGAAGAGAGCGTAGACTCCTTCATCGGCGCCGTTGTCGACTCCTTCGCGGAGGAAGTGTTGGACTGCGATTTCGCACACGAAATTGGATCCTTCTTTTCCTTCCTGTAAATGCATGGTTGTTCACATTTCTCGCTACGAGGACCGTAAGTCTTGTGATAGCGACAAGTCCCGACGTTGGTAGTTTCAGCGGATGCGGCTACAGGTTTGGAGGTTGGGGCAGACACCTTCCTGATGTCCTCGGATTGGAACGAACAGGGTGGAATGCACTGTTTGGAGTCAGGCCCAAAAATCAGGTGGTAATGACAGATCTCTGGAGGTTTGCCGACGACAGGCTTGGCCGAAGACGTTGACGCAGGAGGCGCCAGGGGAATAAACGACGATGTGCCAACAGGGTATGGAATGGACGAGGCTGTAGAAGGCACGGAAATAAGATGGGGCGTTGGGACCATCGTATTAACTGGGGGGTGGGTTGGAATGGCGATGTAATGAGTTTGGTAATCTAAAAGGAACGAGAAAAGCGAGTAGCGCAGTGCAGGCTTGCAGCTAAATAATCGAAACGGCGAAAAGCACCGCACTAGCAAGCTGTCAGTGACCTGGAGGGTGTGAAAATGACTGCGCCCACACAGCCTGGGCTGCTCCAGGTAGGTAGAAGTGAAGTTGTCTCGCCTTTGTGGTAAGAGTCAAAGGTTCTTTGATGCAGCTTCAGGTTGGTTTGGCCAGCGCGCTAAAATATCCTCGGCCAAAAGAGAACTATTAGGCAGTTAAAACCAACCGCAGATCGCATGGCTGTGGAGCCGCGCCGTAAAACTGATGACTCAGCGATCCACCGACCATTCGCTAAGTGCCACCGGCATTGCGCTCGACTCCACACTAAACGCAGCGACCCACAGAAACCGCGCATTCGACTGGTTCACCTCTCCTGTCATCACCTCAACGAGTCCCTTCTTCCAGCGAACCGAGGTAAATTGGTGAACGCACCCGTCCGACCGCACACGCCATGCGTCCGAATTGCTACACAACGAGCAACCTAACTCCAGCGTGGCTGAATATTGAGTCGAGGTGTAGAAGAGGTCTCTCAGCCCAGACTCAAGGAAAAGTAAGTCCTACAACTGCGGCACACTCCTTTGTCAACACTAAGACCTAGGTCTGTTCCTTGTCTCTCTACGTGCATCAAAATCGCGAGGCACGGTAACACCTAGGGATCTAAAACAATCCAAGCTATTTATGCAATCTCAGACAATTGGCGAAAGCTACATCATGTAGCACAGTACGACTGGACCACGTACCGTCAAGAAACAACCGATTCAAGAGGAGTCGTCGCCCAGTCTAGCTAGACCGACAAAATCGATAAATGAGACAGCTGTTTGAGTACAAATTTGCACCCGGTTTGAGCCGCAGAACTACACCTGATGAAATCTTTAAGCAAACACACATAAGAGAATGGAAGTCTTACGAGGTAGAAGACACCTGGAGAGTCGTGGTTTGTTCACAAAAAAAGAGCGGCAATGAGAGAAAGAAGGATAAAAGAACTAGTGGTAACAGCAAGGTAAGGAACAGCATACAGGGAATGATACGAGCAAACTTCCACACTGGCAAATCCTCCAAATCTACACAAAATGTGACTTTTACGTTGTCGCCACGGTTGTGCAAGTTGGAGTGCTTGGACATGAAAAGTATTAGCAACACAGGCAAGTGGACACTTAGGCCTCCAACCATTCGCTAAACACGAAAACTGGCGCCGGGATCATTGCAGGGAGGATCCAACGACCCACCCGAAACGCGTTTCCCCATGGTAACGAAAGAAAACAAGCATCGATTGAGGCACATATAAATTTATTGGACTGAAATGACGGATTACGAAGGGAGATAATACAGAGAGTGACTAGAAGACGTCTGATCATGCTAAAAGAGGGTTACATATTAGTGGTGGTGGCGGTGAAGGAGAGGACCGGAGATACTAAACTAGTGGTGGAACGGGTTCCACCTCTTTGGTTGGCTCTGTGACGCTGGTGACGGCGTCTGCTGTGTCAAATGGCCCATTGATAAGTACACAAAAGGCATGCCAGTGGCAGCGCCGTCGGGGTAGTGTGATCCACACTGGGGCATGCCTACAGACGCCATCTGTTTCGGTGCGCTCTCACCTCCTGAACCGGTCCTGCCGCTTCCCAGCAACGACGGACCACAATTATTCAACGAGGCTGACGACTTCCTCAGGTTCTCTTTGGTGTGGGAAACTTGAGAGAAATGGGCTGGATTCTGATAGTGCGGTTGCGGTTGCCCAAATGAAGGGCGCTTCGCATACTTGGGTGTTGTGCTTTCTGGATCCATGTGACTTCCACCGGTGTTTGAACCACGCTTGAGTCCGCCGCGGTGGACTTGGCGAATGTCTTGATTTAGTGAGTTCTGACGCTCGGGTTCGTTCCTATCGCTGGGAACACGCGTAGTAGCTCGAATTAGGCTATCAAGTGCCTGTTGAACAGCGGGGTTCTTGAGTTTACTGACCAGGTCGGAGGGTGTGTGTGGCGACGCGAATCCAACTCCGCCGCAAGATGCGGGTGGAGGAGGGTTTCCCGATGGAGCAGTAGATAATGACGAGGACGACTTGAGACCCGGATAGAGCATTTCGAGGATGCGTGACTTGAGTGCGGCATTGGAAACTGCGCTGTCTTCGGGCGCTTGACGCCAGGCAAGATTACAAGAGGAACACGCATTAGTGGTCAAAAAGGGTGATTTATTCAAACAGTGTTGGGAGGCTCAACAACGATACCGAGACTAGCAGACAACGGGCACAATGTTAGTACACTCAAGCTTCATTCAGAGCTAACATTTATTTACAACACAACTCTAAATGAAGCTGGTTTTTTTTTTAACAAAAAACCCTAGAAAACACTGGAAATTTGTGCACTTCAATTGAGAAATAATTCCACTTCTGACAGGTCGCAGACACCGCCAAGCCAAAATCGCGAAAATAAAATCGGAAAACAACAATACCGAACCCGTCCTTAATCTAATTCGCACTGTTTTCGTCAGTGTCTCGGGTTTGCGAAGGTGGAAGAAAGCAGAGCGCTTGCAGTCCTACAAGTCTGTTGGGTGGTACTTCTTTGGTGATTGCGGCCAGTGCGCAAGAGTGCAGTTGAAATTCCCTGTGAACGGGAATATTGTAGTCGAAATATCTGCAGTCACGAACGTGATGCGAGACTCTTGAGGTGAAAACAGTTCTTAGTTCAAACACTCTGCGAGCGAAGGTCCCATTGGCATGGACAAAGGCCGGTGTGTAACTGCTGAAAGCAGTTATGTTGAGGTTTCGTTGACAAATCTAGGCAATTTAACGCAAAGCAGCGGCCCGTTGGTACAACGGGCTGGTACCAAAACCTCATTCACGCAAGCACCGAACACTCTGGAAGGCTCGAGTGAAGTCAGCGACCCCTTGGATGTCCACAAAAAACGGCAGCCGGCAGCGGAAGTAGCCAATTTCAAGTGATTGAATTCATCACTTGAGTGCAGAGCGCACGACCTCTTCGCATGCCATTACACACGAGGTCATGCAGTGGATATGTGAGTGCTTTTTGAATAAAAATGTCCATCGACCTAAAAGTGAACACGTGTTGATGACGAAGACAACTCCGCTCGTTCCTGCCAAGTCATCCACCACATTGACATTAACGGTGACTTTCAACAACCTCGCCACACGTCTAAGTCCCAAGGGTAGATGTGAGAGTTCCACTTGTCACTTGTCCGCGCGTTCACAGCTGTGGAGAAGGACAATGCTGTCCGAGAACACACAGTGAATACCACCGGGAAGGTTGTCGTTAAAAACCACTGTAACACGATACAATGGGAATCTTCACAAGACAAGATCAATCCTAGGACGAGACGTAGACGTGGTCAAGGCTGAGTTGATTTAACAAAAAAAACACGACTTAAAGACACCGACAAGGGACCACGGAAAAGGAGATTTGGCGAAGCGACGGAACATAATGGCTTATAAAAATACCCGCGCAATGACACTGCTATTTCACTGTGCGCGGCCAAGATTTTGCTGAATTGGGAGTGAGGGTTAACAGGAGCTGTGCCGAGGACGGTGCGATGATATGGCTTACTAAGCATGGTAAGAGGGAGCTAACGAACAGGCTGAATTGAGGATCTCTCTGTGTGTGTGTGTGTGTGTTGAATAATAATTAACAAGGGTGTCATGAGTCTATAAGCAAAAGCGCAAAATACCCGTGGAGTACTCGTTGGTGAGGCGAGCGCGCCTCTCCGCAACGAAAGCGCCCAACTCATCTAACTCCCCACCCGACAACACTCGGGAATCCGCAAGCATTCGCAGGAGTGTGGAGATGTGACGACTTGGAGCCAGGAAGGTGGGATCATCCGGTGGCACCGCTGTCTGACTATCGTTAGGAGGTGACCGACGGTCGGAGGACTCTCGGCGATGGCGTTGGCGACGACGGTGATCGGGTGATGGGGCTCGAGGAGAAAAAGACGGAGTCGTCGCTTTGGCAGACGCTAGTTCGGCAGCTACGTACTCGACGTAGTCCTTTGAGAGAAGACTGATAGCATCTGGGAGGGGCATGTTCCGGTGTTCTACGGAAGGGGCATGACGGCATCACGACATTATCTCAGGCAAAAAAATTGAGGAGGGAACTCATAATGTACCTTGCTGGGTAGAGGAATGAAGAATGCGAAGTGTGCATGAGTTGTGCGTCCAGTTTGCAGCGTTGACGATGATGGCGAAGAGGACACCGTCGTTTGTGAGATCTTGCAAGCACGGTGCTAGGTGGTCGACATTCACAAGCACCATAATGTGCGACGTAGGGCGAGGTGGAATGACGAGCTTGCCATTAGCTTCTGGATGGTGCACAGCCGACTGCACGCGCTCTTGGACGACCTCGGCGTAAGGTACGAGGTCGTGGGTGATGGCGAGGATGGCGACATCGTAGGGGCGTTGAGATGGTTTTGAATCCCCAGTCGGGTCCACCCAGGGACGACCACTGTTGCCGCCGTCTTCGCCCACAGCGGAGGTCGAATGGGACCAGCCAACAGTCTTTGACATACTGTAGTAAAAGAAGGATAAGAATAGGCGTGTGCGTGTAACGCGTTGCCCCGTGATTTCTCCCAGAAGCACTGCAAAAACCCATCGTCCAAAGAATGCATTTTAAGGAATTACAGCAAGCGAATAACAAAAAGTACAAAAAATCTACGTTTACCGACAATAGCCACATAGGACGCTTTTGTGGTGCATGTTAATAAATCGTGGAAAATATAAAGCGGCTTGCAGATACACTTACCCCGATTGGTCAGCAGCCTCAGAAAGCCAGGTTAAAGGATGATTATCCCTTACAGGTGCCGGTCCGCTGTAAAAATATCAATTAGAGATCTATTACAAACACCAAAAACGACTGTTAAGTAGTCATCAATTTACGGGTAGCTTCCCACATGATTACGAGAATGATTGCAGCAAACGCATCAGGAAACCGGAGACATTTAAGCACGAGTTAGGAATACTGCAGTTAGAGCATTCGAGGTAGCCTGGAGTCGACATTTTAAATTGAAGACGACAACAGCCGTAAGGCACGAACAAATACTACGATAAACATAACCATGTTGGTTGGAACCAAGACATTAATGTAATTTTAGCTAGCGCATCGCATTGCAAAAAAATTAGGCAAGGCTAAGATTCGTAAAACACCCACCTCCTACTCGAACGTCTGCCTGGGGAGCTGGATCGAGGGCTGATACTACGCCTAGACTGAGAAACGGAACGCCGAGAAGGCGATGACTTTTGCCTCTCTCCTGAATAACCTACTGGAGTCTTTGATCGCTCGAGCAGCCGCAATGTCTCTGGCTCGGCGTGTTTGATTGAAACCATTGAACCAAAACGACGAATACCGTTTTCACACTGAACCGCGCCTGCGGCTTCAAGGTCTGTTGAAAACTTCACAACGGCACAGCTAGAATACAATTTGGTTTCTACAATGATAAACAAACTTTTGTTGTAAGTATATGACACGATACAGAAGAACGCGCACATAAATTTTATAAGACATGACCGACTATTTCACCTCAAGTAGAATGAAGTGAGACAAACTAAAACGTCGAAAGAAATGGGTTGATTTACTGCATTTTTAAAATAAAGATCTTCAACGAAAAACCGTGTACTCAGTTTTAAAAAAGGAGAGAATCACATTCACGTACACAACGTACATTTTGAGAACCAAATCCAAGTTATGGTTGACACAGTTACTTGCCTTGAATAGTCCCATATTTATCCAGCCACAGGCGCAAAGCCTCATCTGTGACGAATCGCATACGTATATTCTGAATAATTATTTTTCCAGAACAATCCACATCAGATGGCGCGGCGATTTCACGCCGACTCCGCATCGATAGAAAACCACAGGGTAAAAATTACGGTGACCGGCGTTACGAATAAAAAGATTAAAACAATAGGGCAAAAATGCGGTGACTCACGCCAAACGCCCCGCATAAGTCTATATTTATAAAGTTTCAAATATGTTCATGTGCTTTTAAACTGTAGTCAATTCTTAGAAACTAGAAATGATAATTGTTAAAAGAAATTAAGCCAGCATGAATTTAGTAATTAAAATATTATTATGCGGATTTGCAGTCCCATAAAACTGTACAAGTAGTCTGCTGGAATAAGTCAATGATGCTATGACGCCGAAAATCAAGCATTATTCCTGGTGGATACCCTAATAAGCAATTTGTACTGTTTTGAAAAAACGGTAAGTGGAATAAAATATCGGGGAATTAATAGGTGCCAATTAAAAAATATGACGTTTAGATTAAAATATAAACTGCAAATTGAATTTTATTTTTCGTGGAACAGCATTTTCACAGAAGCACCTGCTCATTTATTCAACTTTGCAAAATCTTTGTAATTGTATCCTACAAGTAAATGAAATCGCACAACGTTAGGTACCTTTAAAGCGAAAAAGCCTGTCATGATTATTTTTTATATTAGTTTTATAATCATAACTGCGTTCGGGAATACTGAAAATTTGTCGGAATTTGTTTAAGCTAACGTTTTTCCACGCGGGTCTCTCTGCCTAATAGGCGTTGTTGTGTGCACGTTTAGGCCCCTTTTGGGATGGGTAGTCTTGAAGAGGATGATATTCCTTGCAACGATTTTCTTCGGTTCAGTGTAAGTTTTTTTGGAGAGGACTCTCCTTGGATATAATAGACGTAAAAGCAAACATGAGAATCAACTTCTTTTTGTAGTCCCAAATATTTCAAAGCAGACATCCCATTGTATTTAAAATAAGAGCTTGCTGGTTTCAGCATTTTTTTCCACTTTAGAAACTGCTACACACCTGGCGCAAGTCAGATGATCGAATAAACAATGAATTAAATGCAGCTCTCCCCACTGCTTCGTTTTCTCAGTCCGTCGATGCGGCACAACAGTGTTCTACGTTTTATAACAAGGTTTGTCCTAGTGTCATTTTCCACTAAGACTCTTTAGTAGAATTATGAGTAGGCAATTGTGCCCTACGGTTATTTGCGCAGTTGACAAATCTCATTGCATTTACGGCAAAACTGGGCTGACTCGAACTGGAGACATCTGATGACACAAGAAACATCAAGCATGTCAATTAATACCATAATGGGTGTGATTATCGTGTCATATTCTTCAATAAGGTGACTTGTGGTCCGTTTTGGTTGTGCCTCGTGGGAGGCACATCAGATCTTATTGTTCCAGGGTTGGGACGTGGTTGGCTGGCTGTAGTAGCTTCGGAAAGTGGGAAAAAGGAAATTGATACTTTACTGTATCTCTGATGCTTGCTTAATATGCGCAACAAATATTTATGACTGCAGAATTTTTTTCGATGGAACCAGAGACGCCCGCGAAATTAGTGTTTTGAAACATATTCATGTAGAAACTAACGGGCGGTCCGTAATTAGAACTCTGTTTTGTAAGGCTGATTTAGAGTTCTAGTATTCCATTTCCAAAAAGAGTAGGAACTGTTTCTGAGGCGACACCTCGCTCAAAATATGCTGGTTTATTCCGATGTCAGACTCCTTCGTCCATCCTACTTTTTACTCCTGCATTGCTTAGCTCATGGATCTCCACAAGCGTCGCTTCAATGCCATCAAGCGATGCATCTCGGTGTCGACGGACCGCGTTAAGGATCTGAAGCAGCAATTAGAGAAGGACTCTGGCTCAACTAGCTTGTCCACTGCCATTCGCAAGGAACAGCTTCAGGTGCGTGTGGATTTTCACGGTGTTCTATTTTCTACAAGTACTCTGAATACCACTTGTTTCGAGCTTAGATCCAGATCACACGTCCTATTTCTAATTCCGGAACAACACATATCCCAAGGTTTAAATTCGCAGATGCACATGTCCCCTTGAATACGGGTCCTCTGGATAAAAATGAATATTTGCTACTGAGATAATGGGAGTAGTAGACAAAGTCGCACCCAAATCATCTGAGGCGATAGTGGACCAATAAATTTGTACGAATTAGAGTTTCTTCGTCTATTAGGCTTCATTTCCCGAACACCGGTGGTGTTTCAAACTAAAGTCGATAATCCGCTGTCCGACTCATGTTCTCATTTTGCTTTCAGCTGCGTCAATTTAATTCGGAGCTTCTTGAAGAGGAGATCATCCAGAATTCTGCTCTCAAAGTGCTCTACGAGCGTTGCAGAGACCACTTCAACAGCACTGCCTTCGAGAAGTTCAAGTAGTACTGACGGCTTACTGCAAACATTTAGGCGAATTACGTGTTTCCCTCTGACACCCCCTTTCCTGTGTACAGTTTCTAGACACCGGTCTTTTGTGAAATACAGCAGTGCCAAGTTAGTTGACCTGGTGACCTCTTCTGGGTTCTATTATGCTTCTCCAAAATGTACCTGCCTGTGTCGTCGCTTCGGTTGTCGCTTGCTTGCAACACGATGGATCATTTGGCGGCAATGGGGGATTGAAATTCCTGAATCAAATTTCATGTGCTTCTGTGTAAAAAAAGTGTAAAATTTGTCACTAAAGTGTAGTTTAGGCTGCCTGCTTATTGGTTATATGGTGGACAAAGCTCTCGTGGTCTGATTGGCTGCCATGTTAACCAATCAAAATTGTGGAGTGTCATCGATTTTAAACGCGTGACCTGCGTCGCTTTTTGTCACCTTCTTCACGGGACTTTCGGGATCCACAATATGAATGCCTCCAAATTAGGACAGGTAAAATTCGTTTTATCTGACATTGCGACTTCAATTAAGATCAGAATTGGTGATTGTAAATGGAGCCATTCCGAGCATTAAGTTAAACAAAGCATCGAAAACTGGTGTCACACACTTTGCACAACGAAATACTCAGTTCCAAACAACGGTTAAACTAGATCATCAGCGTCTGGTTGTTGAGTGTTGCTGTTTCCATGACTGGGGTTGCTCCAGCAACATCCGAATGGACTTATATTTAAGAGGATTTAGCCAAATGAATAGTTATGTCGAAAAGCACTGCAAATCGTCCACAACTAATAGCTTTTCGCATTTACTTTCGCGGATACTCCTTACTTTTAATCTGCCTGTTGAGTAACCAATCACGACTGCTCGTTTTTGCAGTCACCACACACAAACGCACACTCGTCGGGGTTGGTGCAAACGTTCGTCCAATCAGAATCGCGCCAGTTCAGCAATAGGCCGAGACATTACTACGATCTTCGTATTTGGCAGTTGTGGAAAACGCGAGTTAGTAGGAGGTGAGTGTTTTCAATCTACTCATTTCTCATCATTTCTCTTAAGTCCCACTAACTAATCACGTTTCTAGTTGTTACTTTATACAATTTTGGGTAGTTTGTGTGGTTTTCAAGCATTATTTAAGGCTAGTGTTTGCAGCAAACTCATAAATGCTGGTCGGCATTCACTACAGCTATGGTTTAAAAATTAAGCCCTAGGATGCGCAAATATCCTTTTTGCGCCATGACAACCACGAACACTAGGCATCTGATTGGTCAGTTTTGTGAACTGCCGCAACATTTGGTTGGGTCATTTTCCTCCACCGAATAAACGACTCTGAGAATATCCTACAACGATGTCACTAGCTAAACGCTAATTAGTCATTTTAATTCTTCGTCACGGCATCGGACTCAACGCCTAGAGGTGTTGCATTCGACTTAATCGTCTAAGTTATTGACTTGTCTTGCAATTCTGTCCCTCTCTCATAGCTGCTTTGGAGTTTTGGAATGCCTGAGGTCAAAATACCCCAGCTTGTGGATCTGCTGGAGGCAGCGGACAACAAATTTATCGAATTGTTTCACTCCATTCCGACCGTTCGCGTGGTTGCGCCAGGCAGAGTAAATCTCATTGGCGAACACACGGACTACAACGGGGGATTTGTGCTACCAATGGTGAGCCTACTCATTCTTTAGTGGTGCTTTCCCAAGGTCAAAACTTAACCTTGAAATGCTTTTAAGGCTCTGCCAATGGCCACCGTGATGGTCTCGAGTCCCAGAAGGGATACCGTCGACAGGGGTATCTGTTGTATCCACACCTTGGCTGATCAAGAGGGTGAGAATAACACGGTGACCTTCAATGTTGGTATACTCGAGAAAAAGGAGGCAGCGAAGGGTGAAAAATGGGCCAGCTACATTCGTGGCGTCATCTCCACATTCCAACGTAAGTTGGTTCATTTCTGTGTCAACAAAAAAAACACCTAATTTACTGATCGTGTGGGGTAGTACTTGTCGCTACGGCTAGATCAAGAGTAATAACTTCAACATCAGCCATAAACTGCCATCATGATTTTTGTTTTGGCGCCGTTAAACCGCGTGTTACCGAAGTGTAGTTTGTGCTTGGACGGTAACATGAAGGCTTATCAATGCGATTTTCGTAAAACCACACGTGTGTTTGATGTAATCCTTGCCTAAATGTCGGTTTGCACGGGTCACGGCATGTAATCATGTGCATCGTTAAGCAGTGAAACGTGGAGTCGTGTGCGTCGTCGCTTGAACCGCGTTCTAGTTACATTGTGGTCCAAACGTCATAAATCAGGCAAAAAAAAACCGATAGAAGGCGTTTTGTTGTTCTTCCGCTAGTTGCTACACAAAAAGAGATCAACTTGGGTGCCGGATTAATATTCGAGTAGAAATTGGATTGCTGCAGTTTTGTCGTGTTTTGAAGAATACTTCAACCTGAAACGCGTTTCCACAGCCCCTTCTCTCCTCTTTTTTGTGGAGGTGAAAGAGCAGGACCTACAGCAAGTGCTGACTTGCCGTATCCAGTGAAAGTGCCATGTGTATATTGAAGTGGTTCCAGAGGATGTCCAAGGGAAATGTCCGAAGTCGGTTAATCCAAAAGGCAAAATCTTTTAAAAACTTGGACTTCCCATGTCGGCGAATGGCACTTGAATTCGCGGTAGATGTGATTACCGTCTTTGCGGCATCATTGCAAGATGTAGTCTGGTATATCGGCACCAGACCGTAGTACAGGCTCTGTTGTGTTTACTACGCCACCACCATGCAGTCTAGCTACCCGCTCCAATTTGTCCAAGAAACGCACTAGCCATTTCCGGTGTTCACAAACACTCATAAATCAACCGGTTGTAGCTTACACGGTTCCTGATTTCAATTACGCTTGTGTGTGCACGAGTTTTTCTAGGATGCGGTATTCAAAAAAGCCTTCATTCCACATAAACAATGGTGGTAATTTGATTCAGCTGGCACATAGTAGTCGATGGGTTATTAAAGCACTTAGATGACCCCACGGTCAACACTTAGATACAACGAATACCGGTGCAGAATCGATGTGTTGATATGGACGATGTAAAGAAGGCTCCATTGGCTTGTGAGATAATAAGCGCTGAAGCGCGTTTTGTTTAAATCGACCACTCTAAGGTAACCGCGCGATATTTGCATCAGTTTACTTGTAGCGTGGTTAAGAAAGGCGTTTTGTGTCTTTGTAGAGCATGGAGCACCCAAACCACCAGCATTCAACGCCGTCATCGTGACGAGTGTCCCTCTGGGTGGTGGTTTATCGAGTTCGGCGTCGCTGGAAGTCGCGACACTGCTAACCTGCCAAAAACTCACCGCTTTTGACTCGTTTTCTGTGAGTACCGAAAACACCCTGCCCATTTTACCCCAAAAACCCTTTACCTCGAGCACTGTTAGTGTCAAACGCCAGGGGAGGAAATTTTGACCAATCACATCTTCCTTCTAGTTGACCGAGTGCGCACTGATTTGCCAACAAGCCGAGCACGAATGGGCCAATTCCCCATGCGGTCTGATGGACCAATTGGTGTGCCTCGGTGGCCTACGGGAGCATGCCCTTCTTATCGACTGCCGGTATGTTAATGTCCGTTTTCCGCATCGTTCTGCGTTACACCCGTTTCGCTGTTGAACGTAATCCCGCCCGTTACCTGATTGGTTCCCCCCTGACCTTCTCAAATAGTAGTAACAGGGTTTTTGTCTACCGTTGCCCTTAGATCCATGGAATTCCAGCGTGTTAAAACCAACTTCGGGACAGATGCAAAACTGGTAATTGTGGATAGTGGAGTCCACCACAAGATTGCTGCAGGCCAATACCGAATTCGACGCAGCGAATGCGAGGAGCTGGCGGCGCACTTCAAGGTGAAGACTCTCCGTGATCTTCAGGACAGGCTTCCAGACTTAAACGACCTCTTTGAAGGCAAGCTGAATCTGCAAGATGGTTTCCCAGATCCCTGATGCACCTGATGCTAACAGAAATTGCCTCTTTTTTGTAGAGGTGAACGAGGCACTGGCCGAGACGTCTGCTCGCCGTCTGCGCCACGTTCTGACAGAGAATCAACGCGTGGTGGATGCAGTTAAGGCCATGTCTGCGGCGGATTTTGTCGGTCTAGGCAAGCTGATGCATCAAAGCCACCTCTCGCTCAAGTGAGTCCATCCACGGTGCTTTGATTTTTACAGCTTTTCTACAAATTTATTTAATATAAAAGGAATAGAGAACAACAAACCTTGGAAATATTGCCTATCGTTCTCCATGACCTTGCACCATCGTTCATGTAACGTTCGAATGCCGTCGCGAAGAAACTTGCAGGCTTCGAGACAATGAAGTCGTCGACGCATTTATTGCGAACATCGTCCCACGCTTTGAACTGTCTATTCACTAAGGCGTGATGCTCCATTGATTCGAACAAATGGTGGTCGGATGGGGCCAAGTCTGGTGAATACGCCGGGTGTCGGAGAACTTCCCATTCCAAGTTCAAGAGGGCCTTCTGAGTTGAGCGTTGTCATGCAGCAGCAGTATGCCATGTCTGCTTGCTTGCCCAGTAAACGGCCTTTCCTGATCTCTGGCCTCTTCACTCTGCTTGTTCAATTGTCGGGTGTAGCGTTCCGCAGTCGCCGTCTGACGACCAGTTTCCAGGAGTTTGTAATAGAGTACACCATTCATGTCCCACCGGATACACAGGAGAGCATACTTTTTTAAGTGGATGCCCTTCTTCGGCGTCGATGTTCTGGGTTGCCCGGCATCTACCCACGACACATTTGTACGCTTGGGAACCTCGTAAAACACATGCTTTTAATCACCCGTCACAATTTTTCACAAGAACTTCATGTGTTCCTACGTTGACGTGGGGTGTGTTCGGTTAGCACATGTGGGACCCAACGTCCAAGTTTTTAAATATTTCCCCTTTGTGCAAACTCTCAGAAGTAGCTGTTTGGGTGACTCTTAACTGAGCTGCAAGCTCTTTTAGAGTTTGCGTTTAGTCTTCAGGCAGTAGAGCTTGCGATTCTCCATCTTTCAATTTTCGAGGCTGTCTGGCCAGCAGCTTGTTACTAAGGTCGAAACCACCGCTACCAAGACGTTTGTACCAATAATTGCACGTGTCACAAGACATAATGTCGGCACCAACAACACTACAAAGTGATTTCGGCGTGTTTCGGAAGCATGTGTGTCTCGTTGGGACTCGTACAAACTGTCGTACCATCGGATGTACTGTGTATCAGTCGCTACCGTAAACTTTGGCATTCTGAGAGGTCATACAACCCACGTAGACTTATCGTTCGGTGTTCTGGAACATTGTGTGCTATTATTTCAAAACCAACAAAGATCGCGTGAATGCGTCTACTTCAACTATTTGTTTAAGCTCTGTGGAATAATTTACAAAATTAGAGTGCTAAATCTAATATATTATCAACTGTTTTAAGAAACGATTACGAGGTGTCGTGCCGTGAGCTGGACGAGTTGGTGGACATTGCGATGTCCGTGGACGGGGTCTACGGCGCTCGAATGACCGGTGGTGGCTTTGGAGGATCAATTGTGGTTCTCGTCCAACCGGCTGCCATCAACACCCTGGTGAAAACAATCGACGTAAGTAGCGTGTCCACGACGAGTGTCATAAGCGTACACACCGTTTTCAGCCAATGAAATTTACTTCATTACCAACTGCCAATCACGCTTAACCTACATTTTAAAACTCGCTCATCGAGTATTTGATTGGTTAGCGCGAAAGTTGGTTATAACGGCGTCGGTAGAATTACCACGCTTTGAGTTCATGTCATGCACTCAGACTAACGGGTACCTAGAGTCTGTTTATTTTTTAAACTTCCGCCATATTTGCCCAATTGACCAATCCCCTTCTTTGTTCAAGGCTACGTACTCGAAACAAGCCAAAATCTACGTGGCGGAGGCATCGCTGGGAGCACGAATTCTTCCCCACGACAAGGAGAGAACCAAGTCAACGTCTAAGGGTGATCTTGACTGAAACAATGCCTCCTATTATGCTGGATTAAGGCCTGCCTAGTGTTCAAGCTGATAAAATTAATGCTTCTGCTTCATGCCTATCTTGTACCGGGATTTGAACTCTTTGATGGAAGACAGAAGTCAAACTAACTCAAAAGTTGTACCTGGATTATGAATTACCACAGCGGGGGAGGGAGTGCACGTAGCAAGGGGACAGGATGTTGCTAGACGTAAAATGGAAGATAAAGTCGACATCTTCGAGCCCCACAAAGACACGGCTTGCCTGTCGGAGCACTCGCCTCGCACGACTTATCTTCATAGTCATACGTAAGCTCCTCGTCAACCTCGATATCCCGGATGGCAAACAGCACCAAGTGGGGCTCGAGTGAGTTGATTCGGACGGGAATAACCGTTAAATTGGGGTTACACGAGTGGTTGATCAGACAGGAAGGCGGCAACTGGGTCTGAGCGTCGACGACGCCGTCGGCACCGTCAACGGCTGTCTCGAAGATTATTCTAAAGTCTGACGCTAGGTTCTCGTGGACAAGCATCGCGTAGGCGTGGCCCCACCGTGCTTGTTGCTCGACGGCCAAATTTCTCACCAGTCGGGGTTCTATGTGGGATCCGCGGTATTCACACACGCGTTGCTCGGATACCTCGCCCCTTGGGACCAGCGTCGAAGACGCGGAGAGCACTGGTGTCGTGTCGAACGAACTGCACAAATCGATTTAAGCAGACATCCGTGCTGCAGGCACATGCGAAGTTGCATTCGTAGACTGGGCGTTGAATGCCCACCTCCGGTTCAAGCAAGTAGAACAGTCGGTTGTCATATAAACTAATAATTGGGTCCAGAGGAACGCATAAGACAGGCACACTTGGACGTCTCCGAACACTCGTCCGTACACTGGCAGCCAAGCTCGTGGGTGTAGACAATATCTTCAGGGCTATTGTCGGTGTAGTACACGGGTGGTGGCACTAAAGTGATAAATTGTTTAAAATCGAATTGGTAAGGACCACTGGAATTTATTGTAGAAGTCTAATGCACATTTACCAAGCAGCATTTTGCTTCGCTAAAATACTCCAAAACTCAACGGCTATTCATAGGGTTTTCGCCAAAAAATCGTATTTTTCAGGACTCGAAATAATTCACTATTTAAGGAGCATGTCAGGTTGGATTTTGGTTGTTTTTCGAAATAAGCAAACAACGCAGAGCAAAGCCACGATCAATAATTTTACACCAATCGTAATCAAGCAAACACAGACCGTTCGCATATTACAAGTCGCGAGTTCTTCAGCACAACTTTATTAGGATTCGTGGGAATGAAAAGCAGGTTATTGAGAGAATGTGGCCGCTCTGAATATTTCGCATGGTCGACGACGGAATGATACCGATGGCAGTGGTTATGGGTTATTTCAACTTACCGAAGGATTGGTTTCGGCGGACAAGCAGCCGAAATCACACAACGCTGGTGATAAGTCGTTGCCACGTGTGGGGTCACTGCTCGTCCATGGAAGTCCGTCTTGTCTGTATAACCGTTCCGAATTAGAAATGAATGGTCTGCTAGCTGTCGACGCCACGAACTGTAGTCATCGCTTTCCATTTGCTCCAGGTGAGCTGCAATTACGGTTAGTTTGTTCAAAATGAAGATAATTCAAGTTTACCTCTAGCTCGATGTGCTTTTAACTAGAAGGGGCGGTTACAACGTTGTTTGGGGAGTTTGTTAGACACTGTTTCGATACGACCTTGTGGAAATGGTTGCGAAAACCCATGGAAACGCACGGATCTATCGCAAATTAGAGGCAACCACGACAAGGTGGTTGAACATGCCGATTATATGATGTTTCCCATTCCTAGACTGACCACAAAAGTGGCTGATGTCGACTGACATGCGTCCTTGAGAGCACACGCTTGACGTGCTCGATCACATGTAGAAGTTAACGCTTTGCCGTACACTGTGACGGAGAATGAGCAGTTACAATAACCCCCTTCCATTTGCCGATCAGATGCTTTCGGGGACACCAATACACCAATCAGATTTTCTAGATTTGATGAAACGTAGATCTTAAACAGGGTAATCGTGAATACGGCGTAAAAGGCAGTCTAAAACGCGGCTAGCAACACATCTTGAAATTCTTTTAGTGAAAACATTTCTCTAAACAAATATATTTATGCACAACGATTATGTACAGTTGAGTTCAATGAAATTGGTTGTGCTGGGCTGCAAACACAGCAATTACTGTAGAAATTGTGGGAGGTGAAGTAAGAGGTGTGCGGTTAATAGGAACTGTTCAAGCTCGAAGGCAGTGTGCAAAGAAGCAAGAGTCTCCAAATTTGTGTGCGCAACAGCGGCGATAACGGAACCAGGCAAACCAGGTCACTAGTCACGATTCGGACTAGACAAACTACTCGGCGGACAGGCTTTTCCTCCATAGTCGTAGGTAAGTTCGATACCAGGGCAGAGCGAAGAGGGCTAGACTATGCATGAAAGAAGCGTGTCTGACTGGAATGGCTGCAAGATTGGAGTTGAAGGAATGGTTAATGTAGCGGTAATCAGGGAGCTCCGTGTTAAGCACGCCACCGCCTGCACCCAAGGTGGCGTTGGAGGCGCCATTAATTTGTGTCCCGAAGACAATGTGACTCTCTGGGCCACGGAACTCGCGGACAACCATGACATAGTCGTGGCCTAACATCCTCTGCCACTTCCTGGCCATTTCCCGGTTCAAAGTAGCGGCCGTCGAATACACACTCGCCTCGTCCCTTGTCACCTGCTCGGGAAACCGTCAAGGCGCTAGTATCCAGGCCGTGCTTCTCGACAACTCAATTAGCACACCTGGAATCGGAACATGTGAAACGTATGTGGCACCCGTAGACTGGCCATTGAACCACGGGATGTGCGGACAGCAAGCGCTACAGTGTAGTATAACCAGGGTTGTCATTAACGCCCCAAGACCGCTGAAGGCACTGACAATCAGACGGGTCTGAACAGGGGTCTGTGCACTTACATCTTATCTTCCGTAATCTCCTCGCCGTAAATCATCTACGATAGAAGAGATGGAGATAGTCACATACCGTGTAGAAATTAGCCAACGTAGGGCTAGCAGTCACATAAAATAGACATATTGATGATTAACATAGATACGCAGAAATTTGTGTGTACAAAGTCAGCATAGTTGGATATTTCTGCAAAAAATTGTTGAATAAACCATGGCTCCTGTATAAGTGTCTTTAGCATTTGTGATTTAAACATTGACGCGTCAGAGGAAACCATCCGAAATAAGATCTGGTTTGAAGAAAACGTCGAACCACATGTCGCGTCGGAGTAGCCCAGTTTTGTGCGGAGATGGTTCGTTGGATTGTCTTGAGGTTCACAAGTACTACCTAAATCGAAAAAGTACAACATGTAGCCTACTAGTGACGCCTTTTGTGGTGCAGTAATGCCAGCTTATTAAGATGTTTTACTCTTGCTTAATGACGTGGTGGGAGCTAGGCAGATAGCACATAGCAAGACTGCAACCACTTGTCTGGTTTGAGAACAACGGACTTCAAGCTGACGCAACCACTCACAAAGCGAGGCTGATAAGAGCCAAACACACAGATGACAGGCTTTAATGGGTCTTCGAAGGGAATGACAGCAGGAAATTGGGAGTAGGTGGCAGGGCAGTAACTGCAATTGATAGATTGCCTCGCGGGCTCATTTCGAAGTAGAGCGATGTCGCTTGGTGTGGCTGTGGTGGTGGGCGAATTCAGAGATGGCCGTTGAATCGTCTCGGAGTAAACAAGAGTACACTTTCGACTACTGCTCGCAAATAAGTACTAACATTTTGAGAGTCGAAGTGTGAATGGTTCCCCTAGTTGACAATCCACAGCGTGAAGACGCCAGTTTTCTTACACAAATCAAGAAGTAGGTTAAAAAGTACTGCATCGTCGATGTCGTTCAACTTCCAGATCAACAAAATGTTCATGATGGCGATGTAATAAGTGAAATTTACTGTGCCTCAATTTCACACTAGTTTAGATCTAAGTGCAATGCAAAATTCCCCCTGTGTTTACTGTCTCCTTGTGATAACAAGTTGTTAATCGGTTGAAAATGTTTTACTTACGTCTTACTGGTCCCAGTGTCGCTCTGCTCAATTAACGCCGCGGCTGTGATTTCAAACCGCGAGAAAATCGATAATCGAAAATCCGTACTACCCTTACGATCGTTAAGTGGAAAGCTACACACGCGTTAGAGGAGATGTATCCGAATTTAGCACTGCTTTTAAGCCAGGCTGCTATTCAGAAGGCAAGATCGCCTTGGCATAATTTTGAGGCATGCGATACAGACAGGAGTTCTGAGTGGTTTATATAAACTTTGTCTAACTGAGCACACGGCCACAGCTGCAAGTGAGAGATATTTGCATTAAACTAAAGCTAATAATAGTGTCGCTGAATTTCTGGTCATGTGGTAGATAATAACCGCGCCAAATTGTCTAATTTAACTGTTACATCACTTATTCTCACGGAAAATTACGGGTGCTTGGATGCTGATGTGACGCCAAGTTCAATGTAGCTATACTTGAGTACAGGAATCAGGTATTTTGACGATTTAATTTCCATTTACTAGGGCATAGGTACTTTTCCAAAAAACCGGTTACCAGTCACCCATCTCTAATGAAAAAGCAGACAGGGTAACAGCCAAATTGTGGACCAAAGGTATCAAGCGATTTCGTCTGAAGCTTCAAGACCATCATAGAAGCCTTCATAAGAAGCACACTAAGTCAAGGATTTCATAGATTTTCAAGCGCTCTGTTTTAAACTCAATGAAAAGAGCAGCAGATACAACAACTTCCCAGTGCTGCCATTACAGTGTGTAGCATATTTAGATTTTGCCAAAACAAACCCCACAATTAGAAGCATTTTTCCCATTTCCGCATACTGTGTTTTGCTCGACGTTGATTAACTTTTCTGGCGTAACCACTAATCGGCATGCGGAATTAAACGATTACTGCATGCCTTAGTAAGAATTCTGTCTACCCTTACTAAGGCAGAATTAGAAGCCCACTTTTGGACATATCCTGACATCATAACCAGCTTTCATGCTTTCACCCACGTCGTTGGTGTCAGTGCTATGCTATTGTATGAAGCCCAGTATCCAACACACTTTGTCTTTGGTTAAAACTCGCTTGATTAACTTCACCAGACTACAATGGCTTCATGCGTCGATTAAGCATCGTTGAAATTAGACATTTGAATGCATATTTAACGATTTCGAGTCGACTGATTTGAAAATAACCTCCGACGTGTTGGATTCCCACAAATGCCAGCAAATGACAATTTGGGGGAATAAAGGAGTGCATCCAGGGTGATCCTGGGACAAGTTGAGGCTGTGCATACTTGGTAGCAGACGACCCGATTGACAGATATGGAATTCGTCAAGAGGAGCAAGCGTGAGATCGACGGAATTTACACATGAAACCCACAAACCATGACTCACACCAAGACGTGAAACTGATTGGCCAATCACCAACGTTTCAATCTCATTGGCTATATGGTGGAGGTATAAAAACAGCATTGAGTTGGAGGTATCGATAGTTTTCCGAAATTCCAACACCACGCACGATGTACACGTACTACACACAGCCAGTGATCACCGCGGCAGCCACCAATAGCTGCCGAAACAGAAAGCGGACCCATCAAATGGTCGATCGGTTTGAGAATCTTCTAAACTTATACACCTCATTTGAACGTGGGCATCGTTGTAATGGGACAACATGGTGATGTGGCAGAGATGGTGAGCTATGAGTTCATCACAGGTAAGGTGGCTTTTCGGGCAACACATATGCTTCGCGTGGCCATCTCACTTTGTTCGCCACAAGAAAATTTTATCCATTAGCCAATGCAACGTTTATAAACTGGCCAAAGTCTGGTAAGTGGAATTCGTCAGTGCATTTACCTTTTTAACTCTTGGTGCAAATTAGCTGCCTTACACCTTACAGCTACAGTCTCATTTCCGACCAGTTTGAATCAAAGCTACAGAAGGGTTTTAAGTTCTTGGATACGAGCTTACTCTGCCATATACAGAGGTTGCTAGCGTTCCCCATGTCGACTCATCGTCTTATTAAGACTTTTTAATTGTTTACACAACTTACCAAATCATACCGATTCCCTGTTTACTCCTATTGGATTATTAGGTAAAGGTCAACCTTGGCTTTTTTGGTTTCTAAGTTTTAGAGAAACCGGGGTTCACTGATTTCAAGTCAGGGACTGTGTCCATTTACCGTCAACCATAAATTGTCGGAGAAGCTTAAATAGGATTTTTCACAATCCAGGATCCATAGCGTTAGATTATCAGCCTATCCAAGCACCACATTCTAAGACAAATGCTAGCGAGAAGTTAAAATGGCTTGCTGTTAGACGAGGTGCAAAGAAAATGAGGCAGAATACTCGACATAGTGTAGATCGCAAATTACAAAGATGTTAGTCACAGCTTATAATCTTATCGCTTCAGCAAGAAGGTCACGCCGGATGAAGCCGAGGATTGTGTCAATCAGGCGCGTTTTGTGGCTTCGGATTAAAATCGACTTGTGACTCTCAGCTGTTGTATTTTGCATTTTTTTAATACTTCGTGTGCAGTTGGGGTTTTGTTTTGGTCAGTTTTCAGAAAGACTATCAATCACAATGCTCAAAGCTTACACTGCGTTGCAATTTCAATGTTCCATAGTCTTGATTTAGAGGGTGAACAATAGCTGTGCTCTGAAGAGCCCTGTTTGAATTGCGAGTGTGCACTGCCTCAAACAATTTAAAGAATTCTGTGGCAGTTCGTCCGCAATTTCTGCGATCCTCGTTAATGCACCTGAGGAGTTTTCAAATTGCGGTTAGCTGGTACGCAGTGACAGTTTCAAGACGGCATTGAATATATCGCCTTTAACCGTCACATTCTACCCATGAATTTGCATTATCTGTTGTGAAAATGTCTAGTGGTAACACCTGATACCTTTAGAATGTGTTCATGCCGTGATCGTGGTTAGTTAATCTGGCAGACAGCTGTGCCCACACTGGAACTGCACGCGTGAGCCATTCCAATTCACTTTGACTAGAGGCGTTCGACAAGGTGGCGAGGTGGTCATCAGTGAGTTGATTTTCATTCTTGTTGCCAACGTTTTATCTGATCAAGAAATCCAGTTCTCGATGCGATATTTGATCACCTAGTAACAAGTTATGCCTTATACTTGATCAGAAGCAGATGTACGTTCGTTTGCGGAAGAAAGCGTTGTTGACGGCACTCAGATCGAGCGGTGGCGAAGACGAAGATGGCAGGACACTGTCACGACTGACGGAGTACGAATAAGTTGGTAACCGAAACCAACTCAACTCAACAACCAATAATGTCAGTTGTCTATCGATGCGCATCTGAGATTTAATACATGGCGCATTGAATTCCTGCTTTGTTTGATAATCGCATTTACCGATATGTGCGACGCTTTTACAACTATAATAAATCCGATTTCCTAACAAATGTGTTCATTTTGGTGCTGTTTGGCTATCATTTTTGGTTTAGTTAGCCTGATGTCAGCTGCTGTCAAGCCGATTGACTGGCTGCTACACTGCTTTACGCTATTTGATATATACCATGCTTGTAGGCACAGTTATGTGTGGAAGCAGATTAAGCATGAGTTGAGGTAAGTTCCCCTAAGTGACTTATGAGCTACTTATCGACTGTATTCGCCATGGCATGTACAAAAGGACACCACTTAAAATGGTGGTTGGGTGAAGCACTGATAGCAAGTAGTATTCACGGTTTCAGAGACAAATGCACCCAACATGTCATCTTCTCGAATTGCCACGTAATTTTCAAGTCTAGATCGCTCATTTTGCCCTATTTCATTCTGTTGTAGATGCAATACTCCAACGCTATTCGTAAGGACCTTTTTGAACCGTATAATCTAGGCTGTGAATGCAAAGACAGTTGCGTTGACGTGCAAAACTGCGCCTGTCTGGCGCGCTCCCAGGGGCTAAATTATGATCCAGTTTACGGTTTGATGGTACAGTACGTGCCAGCACGACCACAATACGACCGTCCCATCTATGAATGCCACCAATTCTGCTCCTGTCAAAAGGATGCCTGTAAAAATCGAGTGGTTCATAAAAATAAGAAAAACAGGGGCCCACTAACCGTTTTCAATGCCGGCCCCAAAGAACGCGGCGTCCTCGCGTTGTCTCATATACGCCAAGGCGAATTCGTCGGTGTTATTAAGGGGACGTATGTAGATCCTGATTTTGAAAACGTGTACGCACTGGCCGTTGAGCAACGGATGATGTGGAATCATGTCTACACAACGGTTGTCCGCGAGTATGGCTTGCTGCCGCACGGCAGCCCCTATATTACTGCCATTAATGGAGCCGGTTTGGCCGATGACATTTACACCGACCTTCCGCCTACCAGCTGCATCAACCACTCGTGTAGCCCGAATTTAACAATTATACCCGTTCGAGGATACAGGGATCGGCCCCTCTTGGCGTTGTTTGCACTTCGTGGAATCACACGTCACGAGGAACTTACCTACAGCTACTTTGAAAGGTCATGCGAGAAGGCAAGAGTGACTGGCAAGTACTGTTTGTGCGAATCCTGGAATTGCAAACGTTATCTCCCGTTTTGCGCCTAGTCGCATCAACGGAAAACACTTGTTCAAGACATCCTTGTATATACTAACATCGTCCATGCTCTGCAACAACTCCTTGTTGATTGACACATCTTCGCCTCTACCACACCACTTTCTGATCCTCGAAGCCCTATTCATGCGTATAAAATCACTGTGATTTCGAATTGTGAAAAAAGAAGCACCGCGTTTGCTGACAGTGTAAAACAGAAACCAGGAACAGGAAGAGTGACTGGCAAGTACTGTTTGTGTGGATCCAGAAACCTCCTACGTTTTCTCCCAATTTGCGCCTAGTCGCATCAGGAGGAAACGCTCGTTAAGATATTTGTTGCCTGAGTTGAAGACCTCCTTGTATATGTTGACGTCGTCCATGCTCTGCAACAATCGGGAATTATGTCCCTGCTCCATGACACACAAACACCTTGTTGATTGACATGTCTTCTTCACCCCTACCACACCACCCTCAGATCCTCAAAACCTTATTTATGTGTCTATAATTAAAACGATTTCAAATTGTAAGAACTGAACTAGCATGCTTGCTGACAGTGTAGCCTAGCACCCGGTTGCACTAATCCTTAAAATTGGGTCGTGTGTTAAACTAGCAGGTAAGATAGCCAAAAGATCATTTGACAGGAAAGCTTATTCTAATTGGTTTACTGAAAGTTGTTGTAAGTGTACTACAGTGTTTTTTTTTGCATTAATTAGACCGCATACTAACGAGCAAAACTGGCTGCTAGTGTCTTATATTTAGGATTTTACGTTTAAACGAGTATGCAAGAGTCTCAGAACAATTTCGGAATAATGATGCGAGATTCTCTGAGCCATTAGACCCACTCTATTTAAAACAAAACTCGCATTTATTAGGGCCGACTTAGCGACCCGAGTGAGACAATTGAATCCGACAGGAAGCGAGGCATAAAATCACTTTCAAGAGTACAGTTGTGAATGTAGACACAAGCAAAGAACTAACATCCCCACGCAGACTCAATGTTTGTCATTTAATCAGGGAAGATGGGCGGAATGAGAGTGGTGGCACCTACTGGTGAATGCTTTCCGTGATGATGGCTGTGCTAGGGTGGCCTTATCAACAAACTGCTCAGTTCAAAACTATTGTGAATTGCGTTTGCTTACACTCGCTAACCCGATCACTCCCCGTTTCGCAGCATGTCGCCAGCCGCGCGGATCCTCAACTCCCCCCTCATTCACATGAATATTTATCTTGGATTTTCCTCACACCTAGGTCTCGATGTTATCGCATCTATGACTTACACATCTGGGGTATAAAAACAAACGCGCAAATGCCACCGACGACACAACGACACCAACGTTGTTAAGCTTTAAAGTAAACGCTCGTGTCCAAGTCCTCTCCGGTCCTTTTCTATAATCGTGGGTATCAGGGAAGCGTAATTAGGCCAGGGTTAATTCCGTGGCCCCGGCGTTTTTCAAGACCGCATTCTGGGGCCCACAACACAACCATGGATTATGCACGAGAGCTAATTACTGTCGCCACATTCTGCATGCCTTTACCTCAACGAAAGTGGTCAGTAAGACACAGGTTGCGACGCTGATCTTAGGCCTGGGACAGCATGTCGTAAAATTACCTCTGATATTTACCGTCATTTTTGTCTTTTTCAAGTAAATATAAAGAGCATGAATTAATTAAAACATATGTTTCAGCAAATTTAATTTACAAAAAAACCCAATTTTAGAAACATCGTTCATTGAGCAGAGCGTTTTAATGTACAGAAGCGGTAACGAGATTTCAATAATTGTGAAAGGATTCATTCTAGGAGAAAGATATAATTAACGGTAACGCACAAGTTCTTGGTAACAGTTGATTAAGGTTACCAATTAAAGGAATTATTTTATAACAGCTCAAAATTAGCATAACGCAGGATGAATGCCAATTTATTGTGTAATTACTATAGTAATTTCGGCAATGAGATGCATAAGCTACTGAAATCATGATAAATGCCCTCATTGGAGCCTGATTCCCTGGAATTATTAAAATTGTAGGAAAACACGAGTATTGCAATGGCCAAGTCGTTGTTCACGTGATTACATTCAACAGCAAAATGACCCTTTTTCTGATTACGGATACCAAGTTGACTCGTGGTGGTGATTCTATTAAGAAACTCTGGAGAGTTCTACATGGAATCAGGATTTCCTGGCTTGCCAAATGGAATGTAGGCGTGGGGGGTATATCATTGAAATCGCCATACCAACTTTTGACTAATGCAATATTCTCTTAAAGACTTCAATAATTCAGACAATTTTGATAACAGACCTTTCAACCAGACTGTATCCTAAGGGATTCAAATTTTGCTTTCTTCACAGAACTTCTACTCACTAGAAAATCAAGCCTCTGAACCATGGCAACTGCGATGTGGAGTGGACTTTAAAGGCCGTGTTATATCTTATTTTTGAAGACTAATGGCATAAGCACTTAGGGTGCTCAAATAGCGCAGTCGGAAGACGATTGGTTTTATGCTAGCTCAAGCTAATTCGCAGCCAAACCATTGTCAAAACGCATTCTCTAAATTAACCTTTGCTGATTGCAGTGAAATGAGGGACCCGGGAGTTTGTAAGTGTGCTGATCATCCACATTCCAAATCAGCCCATCATAGACAAAACTTGGAAGTCGTGTCAACGATTGCATAATGTCGGCTGTGGAAAAAATGTTATGGATAAAAGAGTCCGTACGCAGACCGATTGACTGCCAATGTTACAGTCTCAAGGCTTGTTAAACAAAATTGGCAAAAAAGGGAGGTAGTTCGAGGCATCGGGGACAAAACCCTGAAGTCGTGTAGACAGATGGGTGATGCTGGTGGTGATGGAAGCATTCATCTTTGTAGGAAGGTGGTCCACAGTCTTGTTGCCTTTGTTTTGCACTTCCTGACAAGGGTCAGATCACCAACACGTCACAACACTACCATCTTCCTGCCTTTTGTTCGCTGGTCGCTCTAAGTACGATTAGCTAGGCTCCCTTTCATGAACCTGCGTGAGGCACAAATGAACATTAAAGTTTATTTACGCAAATACAAAATGATGATTTGAGCAATAAACTTCAGCACATGATCCTAAGTAACATAGGACAGTGAAAATGAAATAAAGGTTTGATCTCTCACTTCAGAAACTACTAAAAATAATGCAGTGACGATAAATGAAGCAAATTTTAGTCCTACCATGCAAAGAAGTTTGGCTGAGTAAGGTTATTTTCCTTCAAGAAACACAAGATGTCACCAGCAGACAGGTTCAAAGAAACACGATTGGTGACTGGGACTGCTGAACCACAGCACAGCACAGGATACCACTGACTCCTTGATATCCCCCTGTGCTGATCATTGAGCCTGGAAAGAATAACTCAAGTTTGCTGATGTCTTCAGCGTAGCAAAGTTAAACAACCAAAGTAGGAACGTTGCTGTTAGTCCACTGAAACCCGTCAAATTTTGACGAAAGGAGAATTCATTGAAAACATCAGAGGCACGGTGGCTGTTCAATCACAAGGCAAAATAGGACTGTATATTTCGATGCAAATTATGCGTTGAACAGATCCATGAGCAAAAGCAAATGAAGAGGCGAATTGTCGAAGTCAAAAAGCTATCCGTATTCACTGACAACACGAACGCCTGTTTCCAACGTGTTTTGCGAGACCACGGAATGCGGGCGTCCACAATCTACCAGTGAGTGCGGTAAAAAACTACCAATCTTGTCTCAATGTGTCGCAATTCGTGTTTCATATTTGAAACCACTGTGTATACTTTTCCGGTGATTGTGCCTGTTGTTGTTCTCGTCAAACGTCACCAATGGTTTCCGCCAACGAGGCTGGCGACTGAGGTGAATTTCAGAGTAGCAGTGCAAGTAGAAAATTGTCGTCGGATAGGGGTCACAGTTGAAGAGATCTACAGTTGGAGCAGCCATACCTTTTAGCACGAGTTTTTGACATCGCGACGGCCATCAGAAGAGCAAGAAGCGTTATGCAGAAACCGAATTAAAAACAACGATTCCATAAGTAAGACTGAACTAATCTCATTTTACTAATCACATCCGCTGACTTGAGGTCGCCGGTTAGCACTGCTATCACGTGATTAAAGTCGCTGACTGGTAGAACAAGTTTTGTTAGGCTTCGACTGTAGAGAATCTGTGAATCTTGCTTAAGAAAAAATGAAGTTAATTAAGAAGATTTCGGTAAGTTCATGATTTGGACGTCAGTCAAGAATTTAATGTGGTAGAAAATTAACGAATTCAACTTTTAATCTCCCGTATGTTTAGAGGAAATTATAATTAGGAATCAAGGGATGTTTTGGGAAATCGAAGTTCCTGTCGAGATAACGATGGAGCCGGATACTTCGAAGGAGCGCATTAAGTCCCTCTAATGGCAGGGATCTTGGCTACAGAACAAGAGGAATAGGAGGAAAGGTAATGTCCAGAATCAGATTTATTGGTGCACCACTAAGAGGTCATTAACTTCTGGCCGCCAAGGTAGGTGGCGTGGTCATTTGCTTTGTGGGTAGACTTCTTGGCAGCATTTCGGAATGTGAGTAGTAGGCAGCAAATCCACATGGAGGTGGTTTTTGGTTGCAGTGGAAACCAAAGAAATCTCCGTAAGTTGTTGAAGCTGCAGACTGGTTTTGATGTTTCGGAACAAAAGTTAAATTCAGCCAGATATTCCTTGGCAAAAAACTTCCAAGTAAGTCAGAATGATCGAGGGGGAATAGCACGCGTGTGTCTACGCCAACGCATTCGCCATCGTTTTAAATAATAATGAAGCCACCAACTCATTCAAGAAGCAAGATGTTAAAACAGCTAGACATTTGCAAATTTAAAAATATGAATTTGTTGACTAATATTGACTATTACATATGGTCTAGGTTGCACAGTCGCGAACCTCTATCATAAACGCGATGCAAACGCAGACATTGGCTGCGGACAAGCCAGAGGTTTCTGCTGCAACTGCACGCAGTGTCCGCTCCATTGTTGCTGGCGACATTTCCGCAAATCAAAGTACATGGAAACTTGGGAATTGCAAATGAAGCGCAGACTTCAAAGTCTGTGTTTGGTGCCGATTAGCAACTCCAAATTATCAAATCTAGTAAGTGAGGTCATTAAAAAACAGGTAAAATCAGAGAGACTCTTACTGATGCAAGTTACATTGATTATAGAGGGTGGCAAGGCCTAAACATAGGTGACTGCGGTAAGCAATCAAGAGCGTGATTCAATGCATCAGTGAAATTTCGATGGAAAAGTGACGTCAGTGGCGATTGTGGCAGGTTTTTTCGACTACCAACCAAGCTGAATGCACTTCACCGTCATGTTCACTTTCGCCGCCGTTCGATCAAAAATGCCGTCACTAACGCCTACTTCCACTGTCGAGGGAGTGTAACCAACTGTAATCTACAAGACCGAGGATGTGAACTGGCGCGTTGATGTCCTCGATCCCTTGTCATCTTTTATAAAACTGCAACATACCATTGTAGTTCAGTGAGATATTGAGAAATGTGCTCTGTGCATTGAGCTAGAATCTAGCAATAAATGCGTACAAATATCTAAAATATGTTTTTTTTTTTAAATTATGAACAGTTAATGAGTCAGGAATTCGAAAGAGAAGTAGGCGTGTTTAGTGCCAATTGGTTTAGAACAAACGTCACTTGAAGCCAGTGGCTTTACACTAGACGGTCTCAGGACGCCTCCTCGACTGTTTTTTCAGGGCGTGGTTGAAATCTGCTCATGTGACTACACCAGCTCACGCGCTTATTTGGCCAGCGCTCAGTGAACCAAAAGACAGACGCCACACTAGCTTGGATTCGAACACATCGGAGGTCGGAATTTCGCTCGAACACGTGACTGAACAATCGACGCACCTCCCGCGGCTTCAACGGATTCTCTCTTTCACAGCAACGCCGTGTAGTCCAATTCCTCCACAGAAATCAACTTCAGCAGCGTATTCACATGATTTCTCTGATGCTCTGATGTGGTTTACTTATATTCTCATGATGACATGAGTTTTAGTCTCACGGTTCTGCTAGTGATGCATTCTGATGCTTCTTAATACAAGCTTAGCGCATTTAGCCGATTATACTTGCGTGATGCACACGAGCATGCCTGACCTACTTCCTATCTTTCATACTTATATGAAAGTTATCCAGGCTCTTTTTCAGTTAACATTCATTAATAGAAGAACGTTAAATTTTTTGTCATGTTCTTAGTGCTTTTCTGGTTGTGCATAGGTCTTGAAGACATCTATGTACTCTAGAGGCTGACTTATTATTATTTGTTAGCAATTAGATTGCTTCGCACATCTAATTGCAACTATGTTCTGCTAGGTACTCAAATTAAGACGCAACCAAGATGATAACAGCAAAATTCTTCAAATCTCGCCCTGGTTGGTGTTATTGAGTCCCCTTACGACCAGGTGAAACAACATCATAAATCCGCAAATTGCAGCTCAAAATGCAGTCTTTGATGCGTTGAAATAACGTCGTGGTTGCTTGTTACAATTACCTTCATTTGAGGCACCTGACATTATCAATACCAATGAGTGTATTTTGGTGCTAGTCCAGTTACACGGTTGAGTTAGCGGGATGTCTGTTGTGAGCAGCTCGATGAATGGCTTTGCATGCTTGTACCTACGCATTCACGTGGGTTATTTGCGTCTATTTGCATTACGTTCCATTGGCGAGAATCCGATCCATACCTCAGACCTTTCATTCTGCCACAAAAGCCCATTTACATCTATTCTTTTGTAGATGGGATACTCCGAGGCTGTTACAGATCGTCTAGCCCGTCTAAGATGTCTAGGCTGCGCTTGCGAAGGCGACTGCGCCCTCTCGCGCAACTGCGTCTGTCTCCAGCTCTCCGAGGGGCGCAATTACGATCCGAACGATTATTTGCTGCTGCAGTTGGCACCATGGTTGCCCTATTACCACCGCCCAGTCTTCGAGTGCAGTAGGTTCTGCACCTGTCAACAGGGTACCTGCAGGAATCGACTAGTCCAGTATTATGAACGTGACAAAGCCGCTGTGAAGACCTGCAATGCTGGCGCCAAGGGACGAGGCGTGCGTGCGACGCGGAATTTTCGCCAGGGGAACTTTGTTTGTGTCGTTGCTGGACACTACATGGAATGTAACCTTGAAGGCGCACGAGCCTTGGCCGCCGAACAGTTTGCAAAGTGGAATAACGTCTACGTGATGGTTGTCAAAGAGGCTGGCTTGCGCAGGGATAACCGCGAAACTGTGACCATTGTCGATTGTGCCCATGACGTCGAGAACATTCGGAGCCAACTGCCGACCACTAGCCTCTTCAATCACTCATGCAACCCTAATATGACCATCATTCCGGTTCGAGTTGATTCAATGCGGCCCATCTTGGCGCTATTTGCAATTCGTGATATTAAGGCCAAGGAGGAACTCACTTACAGCTATTTTGAAAGGTCATGTGAGGACTCTCAGATATTTGGAGTACATTGTCTCTGCGGCGAGGCTAACTGTCGGGGCTTGCTTCCGTTTTGTGTCTAGTGAGCAGTGCAGTCACACTGACGGTTTGTACCCGTTAAATAGAAGTTTGCTTAGTCGGTACTACCTCCCTGTTTGTGCTGACTATGTCTGTATTCTGCACTCTACGTGATACAGTTTTCTGATGTGGAGAGAATATAAACTAATGTAGCAGGCGTTGTACACAACTGATTAAAGCTGCAAGCAAGGCATAACCACACGTAGCTTAGGCATTTACATGAATGAAAATGGTAGCGTAGTTAAAAACATGAGGTGTCTGTAGTTATAGGGCTGAATCGCCAGTTCAGAAATTGGCATGAGCGTCCACACAGAGTGAGGATCCAGACGGTTGGGCCGCTACATTGGCATGACAGCTAAAATCGTTGAACACCTCATAAGAGAATTTGCCTGCCCCTACATTCTGCATTTACTGATTGCGTCTTAGGTTCTTAGTAAAGAGAACATGCTCACGTTCGTAATCACTAAATGTGCCTTCTGTCGTTCAATAACCTGGAAGAATCATCGGCATACTGTAGAGAACAGGGTGTTTGTTTGTGCCTGTTGAAACTCCTCTTTTTACATATTTTTAAATGAGATTTCTGCCAGTGGAATGAGTTGATCTTCTTTCAGGTCCAATTCCAATTCCTCCTCTCTAGCAAGATGCTTGATTTGTCTGTAAAAATCATGAAAATTACATGCGATCAACGGGCAAAATATCGGCAGGTGTGACAAAGACAATGACGATTTCAAGCGGAATAATAACCCTTTATCAGGCTGAATATTTAGTGCGAAAAATTGTGAGAAGGAGATCTTGAAAAACCATTAAATGCCTGTAATAAGATCAAATTTTGACATTTTACGCAGCATAAAAAATTTATGTTCATTCATGTTTTTTAATGGCTAGTTTTCCCTTTTCATGCCAAAAGGCTGTTACTCTAAACGATCGTGTCACTTACAGGGATTCAGTAGTGTTGTTTGTGCTCATTTTACGAAGCCATAAAACAAATGTGATCAGTGTTGTGGAGAACCAAGTATAAAATGGAAGTTAATCCCTGTTAATAATGGTGGCTAAGGCATTTCTAGAACACCGACAGACATCCACAATTTCGATTAAAACGTCCATTGTAAAAATTACGGCAATGCCACTAGTTGCTGTTGCATTAGGGGTCGGTAGATGCGTATTTCTTAAAAGTGACGATAGTAAAGTCATCCATCATGCAATCACTAATACATTTCAGCCAAAGGAAACCCAACATTCCGTTTAAAACCCAGATCGATAAAATCTGGGTTTTTGAGTTTGCGAGGCTAGCAATAATACTTGAGCTTCAGCAAATTCGCTGGCTTCTCGGTTTTTGTCTACTAATTTAAATCAGTAATACCGTTACAAATATATTTAATTTAAATAAGGCAGTATGACTTATCGTGGTTACGCTGCACCCACCGTCTGTAAGCCACATAAATATGGGGAGCGTAAGAATTGCACTGCGTTGAAATTAATTAGGTGTCGACGTCATCTTAAAAGTGAATTTTTAGGTTGAATTACTGAGCTGGTCATAGAATACGCACACTTGAAGGCTGGCGAATCTGCCTGGTCTTCTGACTGCACAAGTAACTCGCCTCTCGTGACTTCATCCAATTCTGTAGTCTGGCAATAGCGTGATCACGGAATCATTTGACGTCCCTATCGTAACGATAGCATTTGGTCTTGGCGATGTTTCAAGAAGCAATTATTGACGCGGCAAATGACTGCACATGAATCCCATTTTACGGTTGGGAGTGAGAATCAAATTATTGAACTTGGATGTCTTCGATAAGAAGTAAATTCAAAAAAAAAACATAACTGGTCCATGAAAAGAGAACAAAACTTGAAACCAAAAAGCATCTGTGGATTTCCAAACCCTGTTTAAATATAAATGATTGAGCTTGTGTCTTCAACATTGATGTTAAATTTGCGTCTTGGTAGATGGTTAGTCAGTGTCGTGGAGTTGCTCAAACTTTCAAGCGGTTGTGATCTTGTCTGTCAATAATCGAACAGTGGCATTGTAGAAACTCTAACGTGGGCATATTACGTAAACACAAAAGCGGCTATTTTTTGTTCAAGGTGAATTAGCTAATGTCAACATGAGGAGGTACATTTAAATGGAGGTTGCTGCTAGATGGTGCAACAGTAGATGCTCATCTTTTGAGCGCTCGAGTTTTAAAAAGAAGCATGAGTTGTTGTGGATCTAGCTATTCAATGAAGTCAATGCAACGGAACGATAATGTCAGTCTTGGGGACCGGTAGGTTGTCTCACGTAGATGCAGAGGGCTTTTCGATTAGCCTGAAACAAGCACACCACCTAGAAGGCAGCCGGCAACCTTGCTATTAATGACACAGTCCTGGCTACCAGCTCACTCTTTCGCTCTCTGCTGTTGCAGTTTCCTTCTGGCGTCACCGGTGTCACTGCATGATCTGGGTGTCGTCAATAACGCTTTCTTCCAAAAAACGTTCCAACGAACACATTAGAGGCATTGCAGATTATCATTTAATGCAGAGATGACTGGAATATTGGTAGGGACGAATTGAGTTAATGCAGAGACAATGAAGGTAGTATTGTGGACCCCAGCATGTGGTCTTGAACCATGCTCGGGCCACGGAATTAACCCAGGCCCGATTACGCTTCCCTGATACCCGCGATGAAGAAAAAGATAGGAGAGGACGTGGACACAACCGTTTACTTCAGAGCTCAACCAAGTTGGTGTAGTTGTGTCGTGTGTGGGGTTTGGGCGGATGCATTTATACCTCGGATGTTTGAGTTTTATATGCGCTAACATCGACGCCTATGTGCAAGGATAATCCAAAATAAATATTCATGTGAATGAGGGGGGAGTTGAGGATCTGCGGGGCTGGCGACACGCTGCGAAAGGGGAACCTTGTGTCGGAGGATGGAGCGACCGGATCAAGGGGTGTGAATAAACACGATTCACAACAGGAGCAAGTTAACCTACCTGTAGTGAAACAAGCCCCAAAGGCTAACTAGTTAAACTGACTGCAATGCAATTACTTCGTGCAACACCAGACGTCAAACAGGTATAGTTATGAGAGCAGTTAAACCGTATTTACGTATTAAACTGCGTAACCCGGTGCGTGGCGATAGCAGTGAGTTTGTTGGTAATTGTGCCTGAAGGTATTTCTACTTGCAAATGGAATTTGTTGCTGTGGAGACATTAAATGATTGCAGTAGAAGAGCTGATTTGTCCTCACTGTCACTTGTCAAAACACAGGACTCCATGGTGATTTCAGAGAAGAGAGAATCAGTTAAATCCACCGGAGACGTGTCGATTGATCTGCCACATCACTGGGTACATTTGGAGGTCCCAATGTGTCAAAATGTGACACAGATTCCCCAGATAGCGTGAAACGAAACAAGTCGAATTTGAGGACTTCAATCATGACTGAAAAGACGGTTCACTATTCTCTCTCGGAATATGTCATGCTATGTCACTGATCGTGACATCCACTATCTACAGTTGAACACCTGAGTGAACAAGTTGCCACCACACGTGTCTATGCCCGTGTTTCAGCATTTCAAACAAAAAAGGGCTTTTTACTTGATAAACAGGCTAAATGCCCAAAAATACTTATTAAGAATTCACTGAACTACACACGGGTTCCCTGCTTAGCGTCAAGCAAACGTGACAGATGGATATCAACGCCTTGGGTTATATCATTGTTTAGTGCTGATGTAAAGGCGTCTGGATGCACGAGCAATTTTTTGGTTGCAATAATTACGGTAGTTCTAGCTCCAACCGAGGTCCCCTACACAATCTTCCTTATGTTACCGCATGTGCCCATGGTAACAGGATACCAGCTGCAATCGGCTTGTTTTATTCCAGTCATATGACATCACCGTTCTGTTATAACTGCATGCAGCCCGAAAAATCCATGGTATAACTGCGCTGTTAGAGTGATGTCATGATTCACTTGTTTGTGTGCATAGAGTGATTTCCGCCTTCCAGAAATGTATCTGCAAAGCGACTGATTTTCCAAATAAGCATTGATAGATACCGGCGCTTTGACGTTTGTCTGGGAGTACGTTGGATTGTTTCGTCTTCATGGCTTTGAGACAGCGGCTGACGATGCTACAAAAATGTTTGACATTAACACGCAACTGCGGCCTCACTGGCTACCACGGCAAACCCTGATAAACAAATATGCCCCTGAGATGGAATCAAACCCCTTGTCATTTGGTGCTGTTTGGTATTCGATGCTGGTGGGGAAACCTCCCTTGACTATAATAAAAGGCCATGCATGGGCCGGTTGATCTCTCCTTCAAATGTTTCTTAGGAGTCGTTGCAATTTTGATACGCCGTTAAATATTCTGGCTAGTGACCATATTTGCCTACTTCGCAATCACATCCAATATTTATGCATTTTTCTGATCAGAATCATCATCGAATTTATAAAGCTTTGCTTCAATAACTACTTATCTCACGATTCGGAATATCCAAAAAAATCGTGGAACTTTTAAAGGCAAGTGACCGGAATAAGGAAGATGCCTCGTTATTTACTTCACCGTCGTCTTCATTTAGATCTTTTTTTTATCATGAAACGTGCTAATGCTCGCCGACTTGATGGCTACTTCGGCAACGCTGACAAAGACAGCCGCATTGAAAGTGCACGTTGTATTAGTGAAGGCAAGTTGTGAGTGTGCGTGGACATGTGTGTCGAGCGTGTGTGAGCTGTAAGCTCAGGTATCACGGCACCTACTACGTGGGTCGGGTACAAGTGTGTATGTGCGTGCGCGGGGCACATAGTAGCGCGGAGTTGAGGGGGGGAAGCGGTCGGAAAAAGAGGAGACACTTTAGGAGTCTGCGCGTCAATTTCAGCCGATGCATTGTGGTATATTTTGCACACGTGCAGGATCTCTGTTTATTTGCATGTGCGTGTGTGTAACTCCAATGGGATACGTCTACTGCCTGCCTCTTATTCTTCTTACCTAAGTTCCCTTCAAGTGGCCCGCTAAATTCACCTATTTTACACTTTACCTGGGGTACCTGTTATCTGAGTATGTGGATCTTGGTTTCGGTTAAAACGTAAGACAAATGACATGCAGATTACGGCAGTGCGTTGATATTCACTTGAAAATAGCATCTTTTACATTTGCAATTTGCATATCTATTTTACCTGCAGGTGGAGTATGAATAAACGATCTGCTTAAGCTATCTCAATTGCAGATATAAAGTTACATTATTAGCAGTTTATTAAATGAAAGATTTGGCTGATTAATTAGTAAACACAGACATTGGTGTTTTGGATGTCAAATCGTGATGTGGATGTCGCGAATGGAGGTCTTTGAACGGTTCATGAGCTGCGTTTTCTGAGATTAATGAAGTCCACTCGCTCGAATTGCAGTTTGTTCACTGATTGTCCTGCGCTCAGTGAACTATACGACAGGCTATATCTGCTCAAACACGTACACATCGTGTCGCATAAATCTGCCTAATCCTCGGGCCACACAATCAACTCCCCTCTCGTGAGTCCATCCACCATCCACCAATCGCCATGACGACAGCATCATTTAACATCGCTACAGCAAGGAGAGGGACTCGTTAGCATCCTATGCGCACAGTGGTTCAGTTTAACGCGGAAGTGTTTTTCGTTTGCTGCTGCCGAGGATCCTTCATCCTACGTACAGGGAAACGTCTTCGCTATCCGTACCGCATGATTATTTTCCTTTCATAAATTTAGTAAAGCACGACATCATTAGGTGAGCCTACAGTTTAACTGAATTTCTTTCGTTAAACTCACGATAATTTGCACATCTGGTGAGGTATAATGACAGGGATTTGTTATGCCATTTGTTTTTTTTGGCAGATAGATATGCTATTCTCAGGTTCTTAACTACGCGGCCGTTTTTTATAGGTTAACAAACGAAAACGTGTGCAGCGGCATTTAATCTAACCAGCACAGCAACAGCTGAAAATGAACTAGTGGAGGAAAAAACGGGGAGGTGGTAGGCAACCGCTTCAATCATGATCAAGTTTCAACTTTATTTTTAGACCCAGCCACGACGACGATGCATAGCAACTGACCACAACTGCCGCCAGGATTATCCAAGCTTTCCTACCATTTTAACATTTATTCACCGGTTCATTAATATTTCGCCTGTACTGTTAATCACATCTCATCTGACTGGTGCCTCTTTCTATAATCAAGCAAACATTCATCCAGATATTCGTGTTTTGTATGCTTTTTACGCTATCTAATTGCTTCGGTTTGACGTGTTATTTCGTTAACGAATTCGCGTGAAAACCACACGATACGGAAGTGTGGTTTTTGTATGTGGCAAAAATAGTCTTACACAAAAATTAAGCAAATAGTTTGTGCATCTGCAAAATGTACATGGTATATCATTTGCTGCCAGAAGGAGGAGGACATTTCTGGAGCTTTGGGAATTTAAGCAATTTAATTCAGAAATCCTTAATCCTTCTCTTACAGATGCTGTATGATCCCACGGTTACAGAGGCATTTATTAATTCACCGAACCCAGGCTGCGATTGCGTGGATGCGTGTTCTGACCCGCTCGTGTGCGCCTGTCTCATTCGGTCCCGCGGGCGCAACTATGATCCGGATGCAAACATTCTACTGCAGCTACAATCACCGCAATCATCATTCGATCGCCCAGTCTACGAATGCAACAGCAGGTGTGCCTGCCGCAAAGACAAATGTCACAATCGACTAGTTCAACTGTTACATCGAAATAAGGGGGCTTTGGTTCCCTACAATGCAGAAGCCAAGGGACGAGGTGTGCGTGCGTCGCGTGCGTTTTGCAGAGGGGAATTTGTGTGTGTTTTCAGCGGCCACTACATGAAACCTGACATTGAACTGGCACAAGCACTTGCAAGCAAGCAACGGAGGAGGTGGCACAACGTCTACATTATGGTTGTCCGGGAGATCGTTGTGGATACTTTTCAGGACGCCTTCACGACTATTGTCAATGGTGCGCATAAGGTCCGAAGCGTTCACACGGGACTGCGACGTACCAGCCTCATCAACCACTCCTGCAACCCCAATATGCAAGTTATCCCTGTTCGAGTTGACACGGTCCAGCCCTTCTTGGCGTTTTTTGCAATACGTGACATTGCGGAAGGTGAGGAACTCACGTATGATTACTTCAAAATGTCACGCGAGAAGACTGTGCGTGGAGCAAAGGCCTGTCGTTGTGGAACTCTGCCGTGTAGTCGTCGCCTACCATTTTGTATTTAACAAACTCTACAGACGGAACCATGGTTAATTTTCGCTTGAATATTCACCTGATAAAATGCAATGCCTGCGTTTTTGTATCATTAGCATCCATTCTCTGCACTCCAATTAACAGCCGCAACAAACTCTGAAAAGGAAGCATGACAGGGGGTAATGGATACTTGCGGCTATTCGTTTCATGTCAGATAGGCCAATGAGTGAAGACACTACTGGCGTCCCATAGCAATAACCAATGAAATGGCTTTGAGTCATTGACACTGGCCGGTGCCACTGCGTTAGCTCAAAATGCCAACGTCCACTAAAATCATGAAAGTGAGGCAGGGTACGCAAATTTTGTTTCATATCTGTGAGAATCGTTAATATGCATTGCCTTTTGAGGCTGTTTTGCGGTAGTAAATTTGCAATCAATGACACAGGCCGTGTGAATCGAAAGTGTGTTATGTGGGGGTCTAGTTTCTGACGGCTTTGACCTGGTCAAAGAGGAACAAATGAGCAAGTGACAGGAGAAACGTGTGGCATTTAATCGTTAAGGTCGTGGATATTACTTTACCCTCCTTAATGCACTTAACTAGCCTGTTTTGTGTACGCCATAAGCTAAATTCCGAGAAGTTGGTTAAACTTCTTGAACATCACCAGCTGATGGAAATGGTGTTAAATGACAGTTGTTCTAAAAATACAAAATGCAGAAATCATTCTTTTTGTTAATCAGGAGATAGATTATTTTGTGGTTAGTGATTGCATTCGCCGCGTACGTAATAGCAAGCAAATTTTTGTAGGTAACGAAATGAGACGTTGGTGACGAAACTTAGATTAAGGAGCCTTGGTCACTGTTTCTAAGTCCCCTTACGACCAGGTGAATAAAAGACCACAGTCACCATAAGCGTAATCTGTCAGTCGACATTTCTCAGATGCATTAAATCACCAATTTGGGGTATTTTTAAACTAACCTTTTGTTTGGGAAGCGATTTGCTTAGGAAACAACGGAATATAGGACTATATATGCTCTTTCGACCATCTAATTGGCATCTAATTGATATTTGCACTACTATCCTTTTTTACTAACTCACATCTTTGATGTGTTTGTTTGAAGGCAATTACAGAAGCCGAATATAAACTTCACAGTCTACACCGCATTTGCGATTGTCAAGATACCGTACAAATTTTTTCTCGGCCAAAACCAGAAAACAAGGGAATACACTGCCCCAAGCAGTCGCCATTGGGCTCTAAGAGAACAATAATGCCACTAAAGTAGTATTAAACAGTAAGCCGTCAGCATGGACGCGTACGGTACAATTCGAAAAGTCGCTGCTGGATATCCCGTGTGAAAGCGTTTGGCAGTTGCAATCAGATGTGCCTACACTGAGGCATTTGTAGTTATTCTGATCCATGGTGAGGGGATTAACGCACTCAATAAACATCAATCACGAAGCCATCAACCCATTCACAGAGCGGTAAATGAAAGCCACTAGACGTTTTTACATGCACAAACACAAATTTGAGGATGCATATTGACAGTTACAGGGGATCTAGACTGTTCAAGCTTGAAAACCCCCTCAGCAAAGCTGCGAAATTAGGCTAGTTGTATTGAAGAGATTTCCAGATTTTTGCAAGTCGTCAACTACGAAAACGTATGTTATAGAGGCTGCTGCAATCGCCTGCACACTGCTCAAGAGTTTCTGATATCTCCTGACACGAATTTCTTCCCCCACTGATCTAGACTATTTCACGATTCCCCATAAATACAACTTGCTACTGGCAAATACAGTGTGGACTGCAAATTCGGCTTCCAATTACCAACCCCAAATTACCCTATAAAATGTACGAGGAAATGAAAAACTAGCAAGATCAAATCAATTCCAGTGCTTGGTTCAAAATTTTCCGAATGTAATGAAACATCAGGGCTGTATTTCAAAGTGCTAATACATCTAAGCTGTGCTAAGCTGTGGGCATCTAGGCTTTCTTCCTTAATTCACCAAGCTGGCGAGCTGATGTCCAGTTGTTACTTCTGCTATTTCAGTTCATTATAAGGCCGAAAATGAAATTTCAGTCTGGCTTAGTAATTTGGGTGCGTCTTAGATCTGCTAGAAATGCGTGCAAATCACTAAAAAATGATCTAATACAGACGTCATGTGTAAACAGTCAATGTTGAGATCATTGGCCACACACGAGGTGTTCTCACATCGACCAATGAGCTGTCGTTTTAGGCCTGGTTGAATTCAGCTCACGTGACATCAACAGTTCGTGTGTTTATTGGCCTTCGCTCTGTGAACTGTAAGACACAAGCAAACTTTGTTCATGTGTGAGCACAACGTGATCTAACATTTTGTCTAAGGATGCGCCACAGCATTCGACGCAACCCTCCTGGTTTCAACTGATCTGCTCACTTCTGGCAACGTCGTGCACTCCTGTGCCCCGGCAAGTTTCAGTTGGCTGAAATCAGCGTCAGCACAGTCTTCATACGATTTCTCTACCGTAACCCAATATCGAGACACTAGTTCTCCTGCGCATAATTTGGCAAGGACGTACTGGCATTCCCCTGTGCAATGAAAAGTAGCTGAAAACGCATTTTCGCATGGCGACAGGAGTGTTGCATCCTACATGTCTACAAGTGATGCATACCTGTGTTTCTCTGCATATTTTAAGAAAGTTCATCGTATTTAGCCTGCCATGTTTGCGTTCAGGACGTATATGTGGATGAGATAATCAAATTTAAAGATGGTAACACTTGAATTTACCTGCCTATTTCTCATACGTCATTATCATACCGTAGATTAATGAACAAACAAGCATGTCTCCAATGAAAGTCCATGTGCCGCTGCGTTCTATGATATTTTTGTGTAACCGTAGGCTTTACGGAAGAAAGCAATCGTGGTGGCACTCAGATCAATTAGCAGCGAAGTCGAAGATGGCAGGACTACCGTCTTTGTCGATATGCTTCGAATTCTCTTCGATCAGTTGAGACGAGGAACCACAAACACTACCAGCAGAACCAAACTCAGCCTCTACGACATGGAATTATGACCCTAGTTGTTGATCACGTTTACTAACATTAACATAATCAGAGTTGCCTACAACTAGTTCTTTTAATGGTGTTTAAGCTATGTCTTTTGTTGGCTTACCTTGATATCGGCTGTTGTCAAACCGACAGATTAGTTACTGTACTGCTTTGAGCCCTATGGATTAATCGCATTCATATACTTATACACTGACGTGGGTTGGGAAGTTTTCATTCACGAAAACTCAACGCAGACTGCAGAGTATACAGCTATGCTTAGTTCTGATGATTTGCTAAGTATGGAAAAAGTTGTGTTCGTCTTGCAAAACTCATTAATATATATATTATTTCCCCCCACTCACTGTAGGCGGCCGTCATCATTTTTTACAGTCTTGGACTTTTTTGTGAATCAATAATTCAACTTTGTTCCGTTATAGATGAAATACTCAAAATCAGTTCTAGAGGGTGCCAGGGATTCGGCTTATCCGGGCTGCGGTTGCGAAGGCAACTGCAGTAGTTTTCAAGATTGCGCCTGTCTTCAGCGCTCCGAAGGACATAATTACAGTATAACACAAAATTTACTGTTAAAACTGCTGCCACCATTTTCATCACACCATCGCCCAATCTACGAGTGTAATAGCTGGTGCTTTTGCCAAAAAGATCGCTGTCGAAATCGAATGGTTCAAAATCGTCAGCACGACACAACCGCTCTGTACGCATCTGACGCGGGTGCAAAGGGACGTGGTGTGTTTGCGGCTCGAAGGTTGCGTCAAGGTGAATTCGTGTGCGTTTTCGCCGGACACTACATGAAACCACGCATCGGAGAGGCACATGAATTGGCTATCGAGCAGCTGGAGAACTGGAACCACGTCTACGTGATGGTTGTGGAAGAATATGGTTTAATTGGTGATGACCATCCATACGTGACTATTGTCAATGGCGCTCATAAGGTGACGGACATTCGAACTGAATTACCGCTTACTAGCCTCATTAACCACTCCTGTGACCCCAATATGACAATATTTCCCGTTCGAGTTGACACAACGCCACCTCTCCTTGCCTGTTTTGCAAATCGTGCTATCGACGCTGGCAAGGAACTCACTATTAGCTACTATGCGAAGTTTTACAGGCCAATTAGAAAACCTGACAAAGAGTGCCATTGTAGATCCAGGAAATGTCAACATCGTCTGCCACTTTTTGTCTAGAACACACATTACAAGTGTCTATGGTGGATATTTGTTAGTAAAATTTTGCTTTTCATCCAAAGCCTTCTTGTTTCCGTCGACACTGTCTGTCTTGCGCACCGAAAAAGGTCTGGTATGTGGCATGTGCTCTTCGGAACACGAAATCATTTCTTCAATCACTAGTTTTCAGAGGCAACAAATAATTAGCCATAGGGTGACTTTAGGTCCCTAGGTGATAATCAACTCCGACGCATTCCTAAGTTCTAGATTCTCGAACAGTCATAGGTAATGGCGCAAGGGGTGTTTGAGGTGGCGATAGCCATTGATCCTCTATGAAGTAATCCAGTGTGATATAATGAGCGGCGTGGCCAGCTTGGAGGACTCGGATGGAAGGCGCCTGACGTGTGGCTCTGGCTTCTGATTGGTCAATAAAGCCTGTTCTGTTGTACCGGTCTTTTACCTATTAGGGCTCGGGTATTCTACAGCGACGACGTCTGAGGACGCAGACATATTGGACCCAGCTGGCCTCATCCAATCCACTGCCTCTCTATGCTCCAATGGCATGCGAGGAAGATAAGCAGCCAACCAGAGAAAGACACGAATGAGGCATATATTGAGCGGCGTGGCTGGCGTGGTGGACTCGGATGAAAGGCGCCTGACGTGTGGTTCTGGCTTGTGATTGGTCAAGAAAACCTGTTCTGTTGTATCAGTCTTCTTCCTATTAGGGCTCGGTTATTCTACAGTAGCGACGTATTAGGGCGCAGACATATTAGATCAAGCCTTTAACAGCCAATCCTCTGTCTCCCTGCGTTCCAATGCCATGCAAGGAAAATAGGTAGCCAACCAGAGAAAGACACGAATGAGGAGCAGTATATAATGATCGGCGTGATTTGTCAATAAAGCCTGTTCTGTTGTACCAGTCTTCTCCCTATTAGGGCTCGGTTATTCTGAACTGTCACTGCTCTTTAGTCATCATTTTAACTAGTTTTACCAATTTACCATGTGGACCAATCGGAAACGGGTTTTGACTAGTAATTTATGACAGAAAACTTGCCTTACTTACACTAGATTCTCTCTCTGGATGTACAGAATTACCGCAATGTATAGACTTTCTATCAAGTCAATTTGATCTATGAGATGCACCATAAGTAACCAAAAGTAGACACAGGTCATGTTCTTGGAGAAACGTTTAACTAAAAGAAGATGTAGCACTTACGTTACACCAAGTCGTGGAGGGCATATACTAGGAAACGTAAAAGTATCACAAAAAAGCAGTACAGTCTACAAATCACTTTTAAACGCTGACCATGCGAAAAAGATAAATCCAAAAATGAAACATTGAGTCACTGATAAATAAATTCATGTTGAAGATACAAAAAAGTGCGTCGGTGGTTGGCTTATTGCCATTGGGGTAGCCAAAGATAGAACTCACCACAAACGTCTTGATTTTGTCCAACATTTTATCCAACTGGTAAACGTGTATGGAAAAACGTAAACAAGGTATTTACAAAGAATTTTAGGCACGTTTTCTAGTTACTGAGAAGCTGTTACCACTAACAGATCCCTAAATAGCCAAATGTAAATTTATGACGTTTCACAACATCATAAATTTTGACTAGGGTTAGAGATAAGCTGACATTTAAACAGATCGATCACTCTGTTCTGTCGAATTCTATGAAGTTGTAAACTTGCAGTATTTGCAAATATGGCGATTGCATATTGTACCAAGCAATGGCTACGCGGAGGATGTATCGCTTGATTTAAAACGCTCATGTGTTTGCCAGTACAAAATATTCTGCTTGAAGTACACGGTTATAATTGTTGAGGGCCCCAGCATGCGGTCTTGAACCACGCCGGAGCCACGGAATTAACCCTGGCCCGATTACGCTTGCCTGATTCCCGTGATGAAGGAAAAAGGCCGGAGAGGACGGACACAAGCGTTTACTTCAGAAGTCAACCACGTTGGTGTCGTTGTCTTGTGTGTGTTTACAGCTCGGATGTGTGAGTCGTACATGCGCTAACACCAAGACCTAGGTGTGGGGACACTCCAAGATAAATATTCGGGCTAATGAAGGGGGAATTGAGGAATCGAGCGGCTGGCGACATGCTGCGACAAGGGTAACCTTGTGTAGGAGGCGGAGCGACCGGATTAGGGGGTTGAATAAACAGGATTCGTGACAGGATCTTGAATTTATTCCACTACTTATCGTGTTTACCTTTTTCTTATAATTGCTGCCTTCATATTTTGTCAAATATTTCTATGGGTTCAATTGATTTAAAAAAAGTAAGAATATGCCGAAAACTAATTTACTGACGCTCGAATATCGCTCAAGCCTTTGCATACTCGGAAAAACCCCCATATTCCCTGGTCCTGTTATTGCTTAAGCCTCGTCAAGTGTCCATTTGGCTGGCATATATTATTAATTACATGATAAAAACTTTATCTTATTATCTTTGAAGAAATGGGCATTTATTGGCCTCTAACACAACCCGAAATGTCTGTATAGATATCCAAACAGTGATGAATGATTAGTGAATGGCTAGTGAAGAGCGCATTTGCTCTCTGCATCTTGCAAGCGCCTGAGTGAAATTTACAAATTTGAACAGGTTTCAGATACATTGCCGCACAAAGTACCGTTTACTTGTTTTACCAAAATGCCACACAGTCGTTCGTCGTTTAGCCAAAAGCTGACAGTTTAAATCGGTCCTCAGTTTCATGGTGTCATTCCTCATAGCATGTCTTCGCCAAAAGTTAATTCCACGTAATTTTAGTCTTCCACACGCCAAGTTTTGGTGACTGTGCATGCATCCAATTATCCTGTATCAAATTTCGATCCTGAATAATCTCTGAAATATACGCAACCGCATCTGAGTGATTTCTCAAAGCCAAGGGAATAGCTGGCTTTGCTAAGCCTCGATGTAATCCCATTTACTAAAATATGGCTAGATCAGCTTTTTTATGCCCCGTGGACATCAAACCCCGTACATCACGTGCAGCATGTTTCGAAACCTCATCGTCGTTTCCCGATAATCAATCGAGTTTTTCTTGAAAATCACTTGCCAATGTGGTGTTAAATGGGAATCGTTCCCAAAGTTAGTGTGCTGCCGAAGTCTAAAATTTCTCTTTTGTAGCATGAATCGACAGGAACGTCCCCGAGTCAGCTGTTCCCACACAACTTCTGCAGGTCTGACACTGCTAACGAAACACCAATCATGGTATTTTGCTTTAATGTTGCAGTATCTCTTTGGTCGACGGTTCTATTTTCCTCAAATGAGTAAATAACTATTCACAAAGACCTACACACATGACGCACACCAAGACGGCTGACCACAGATCCTGCACATCACGATTGATTTTCCTCTGCTCCCGGAGAGAGCTCTCTTGGCACAAAACTGTAATTTGGGGGAAAATGCAGAATCCTGTCAGCAAAATGGTGTAAAGATGAACATGTCCGCACTGCCTAAACTTTGGCTGTCAGTTGAATGAATTGTTAGCCCTCAAAGTAGCTGCGTAATGCTCGAGACTTCAATGATCGCCAAATTGGGCTTAATCATAGTGAAAGTTGGGTGTTTCTACTGTTGTGATCACATGATTAAAGTAAAATCGAAATAATTATCGAAACTGACTAGGTCCCCAAGTTATTGCAATAACTTTGAATTGCCATTAAATTAAGATAAAAATAATTACTTCTTTTATTCGAAATTTCAAAAAAAGTATGAGGCTTTAAAAGAGAGGCGTTGAAAATTAAACGGAAGCTTCTTCATCTTCTTCGTCATCTTCGTCATCGTCTTCACAATCGTGGTGCTCTGTCTTAACGCACTTTCTGTGCTCCTCATCATCGCCATCATCTTGGTCTTTGTCATTCACTTCGACAGTATCTTCATCGTTTTCATCATCATCGTCTTCATCTTCATCGTCCTTAACATCCAATTCAACGACATCTTCATCGTTTTCATCATCATCGTCTTCTTTATCTTCACCATCTGTAACATTTATTTCAACGACATCTTCATCATCATCGTATTCTTCATCTTCACCATCTGTAACATTTACTTCAACGACATATTCATCGTCTTCATCATCATCGTCTTCTTCATCTTCATCGTCCTTAACATCCAATTCAACGACATCTTCATTGTCTTTG